TTGGGAAATAATTATTGCGGGATGAAACCGGCATTTCTATACTACTACCGTTATATGAATAATCGCGTTCCAATTCGATCATACCAAAATCGGTTTTCCCATTTGTTGACTTAATCATCCAATATTCTGTTTCCGGTCAGTTAAAATGTCAGTTTATGTTCTAGGTTTAATATTCTCCTCTTATTATTCATGGCCCTTATATCTAAATTATCAATATAATATAATATTTCTGTTCGTATTTCCTTTAGTTGTTCACAATTATGATTAAATGGCCACATATATTCAGGACATAAAAATTCAACATATTCGTGTCAACTGTCACTTGACATCCAGTGCTATTTTGCACGTAATAATGTTTGGTTTGAAAATTCCATTTGAATTCAATTAAACGTTGTGATGCGTTGTCCCTTGTGATATACGTTCAAAACATATTCCCGTTCTGATTGTGGTCGACTGCTAGTAAAACGTCGACCACAATCAGAACGGATGTACATTTGAATAACTTTATTTCTCGTTTCGTGATATAAATGTCGGATAAATTTAATCGAATATCGCCATCGATGCAACTTAACTTGATGACTCAACTAACTTTCAAATTGCCGGTTCCAATATTGGTGTCATGTTGTAACAAATCAGTTGATCTTTTCAACACACTATCACACTCTTGAAGTTGTAACTCGGTCGGAAATTCATATTTGTTAGTTTTTATTCACCGTCAAAAAAATATTAGGTTAGAAAAAAACAAAAAAATATGATTCAGTCTATGTGATTTACTTTCAAAAATGTATAATCGTAATCTCTATATTCAGTATTTGATTGGATTCAATTTATTACACACATTTTTCACTTATTACACCATCAAAAATATATTTTAAACAAATTATTCAGCTTGGTTCGTGTAAAAAATGACATGAACCGTCCGATAATGACATCTAAATGTCTTTCAATGCACGTTTTAAATATATTGTGACATGAATACGCACAGAATTGCTATGTAAAACCATGAATCGCACGGAAATTGCGAATAAATTCATATTTTGTCTTAAGTACAGTGCCATTGTGACATATTAAGTACGTCATGGAATCAATGTGTTTGAAATTTCATTTCGTGTGAAACCAAGTTCATACGTAATTTACGTATTGAATGACAACTGAGTTGTTTTCAGAAGCTGACGTGTACTAGCAAATAGTTGATAGTGTTAATGTTCAGATCTCCATTCGGTTTTTCGTCACAGAATAATTTTGTTCAACTAATATTTTCAGCAAAATGCTTAAATTAGGTATGTTTCAACTAGATTTCTATTCTTAATTAACCGTTGTGCAATTGTTTTGTGTGGAAACATTATTAGTGGAGAGAAGAGTTTATTGTATTTTTTATAAAAAACGATTCGCAAATGCCGATTATGACAACAGTTCATACCGGCATTTGGAAATTACAAAAAAATATCCATCGATGTCATTTGTTTAGCAAATCCATCGATGTGGATTCTATGAAAGAAAAAGAAATTCCACGATATTGTCATAAACGATATTTTGAATTCAAATTACGCAGTGGGTTTATGCGTGGAAAAAACAAATAAGATCTAACCTAACTCTCATATCGATTAGTTGACGTTGCATTTACTCAAATCATGTTTTATTATCTATATTGATTCTATGTTCTAATCGGAATGAATGTTTGAATTTTGTTTGCAGGTTTTTTACTATTTTTAAGCATATTCGTGTTGGGCGATGCCCTGCGAGCTATAGAAAATCATTTGTCCAGTGAAGATAGTGTACGTCTACAGCAAGTCTTCGTTGATGGCATCAAATCTAATGACTTACAAGCAATCTACTTCAGTGCGCTCAATCTCAAGGAATTATCAGCACAAGAAAAGAGCAACGTTTGTGAACGACTCCTCTCATTACACGGCGAATCGAAGTTGAATGTAAGTTTTTGTGTTTGAAATTACACATGAAAACAAAGTTTCATTTTTTCATAAACAATTATGATTTCGTTGCAGGAATTTGAAAAGAACTTTTATTTGGTCGGTGCCAGTAAACTCTTATCATGCTCAAGTCCAGTTCCAGCCGCCATTTTATCCACTGTTAAATCATCATTGGCAAAGGATACAACTACAGCACATGAACTTTATTACAATTACTTCTCTAATAAATACGCTGGAAATGCCGTTGATGATGCAACCAAAACACGCATTGCAACCAACTTGCAAACAATTTTAAAAGCGGACGATTCGTTGAGCAAGTGAGTTTTCGTATTATATTTATTTTTTTATTTAAATGAGAACTGTCTGTAGAGATGAACCAGAAGAGATTTTTTTTTTGCTAAATCTATTTCTTTTTTGAATCACAAACAGTCTCGGTCATGCTTTCAACATTGCCGCTGAATTGGGAACAAAGGCATCTACTTTGTCAAAATGGATCGAAGGAACTATTGCACAAGCTGACGAAATCAATGGCAAACAATTGCAATTCGAAGGTGGTTTAAGCATCACCGCACTAATCATCAATGGAGTTCTGAAATTCTCAAAAGCTGTTGGCGGTGCTGCTCCATTGACTGAAGACCAACAGAACAAGTTCATTACATACTTTTTGTCACGCAGTGTTGTCTTACAACCAAAAGGTGCATCACTTTTGCTCGAAGTTTTGTCCACGATTGCAACCGATCGTAAGACGGCACCAATTGGAATCTCATTCATTGGAAATGGACAAGTGTTCCCAGAAGCTCAGGAGTTGAATATTCAAATTGTCGATATTTTAGGCGAGCCAGTTCAACCGGCCATTTCATCTGTCACCGGTTCAATCACATCGAAAGCAGATAACTCCGTTTTGGGTTCAAATCTTGCATTCACCCCACGTAGTTCCGATCGTACCGCATACAGTTTGAATTTGAAATCATTAAAATTGAAACAAGGCACATACACCATTGACATTAAAGCCGATACATATACACAAACGTTGGTGTTCAAAGTGTTGACCCAAGTTAAAGTGGCCAGCCTTGAAATTGGAATTGGTGAATCGGACAGTTCATCGGCTATTCAAAAGCACACCGTTGCCTATCCACAGAAATTGAATGTCGTTTTGAATGCCGATCAACAACAAAAGATTCTCGTCAAGGCATTGCTCGTCGATGAAATAACAAACAGTCCAATTACGGTGCATCAAGCATTTGTTTTGTTCGAAGATGACAAGAAAGCACGTGAAGTGATCTTTGTGGCTGAACAAGATACGTCGAAAGCATACAAATTTGATTTGGATGTTGGCGCGCGGGCAGTTTACTTCCAACACAAATCTGGTGTGTATTCATTGGAATTGATTGTTGGCGATTCATCCATTTCAAACTCATTCCGCTGGCATTTGGCTGACATTGAATTGAAATTCCATGAAGTAAAAGAACAAAGTGGTAAGAATTATATTACTTGAATGGCAATGTCAACTTTTTCTTACGCTTTCTTTTTTTCCAATCCAGCATCAAATGTGAACCAATCACGCACACCAAAACCAGAGATCATCCATCAATTCCGTGAGCCAGAAAAGCGTCCGCCACGATTCGTGTCCGATGTCTTCACTGTACTTTGTGCCGTGCCACTAGTGGTGTTGTTCTTCTTGTGGATCAAACTCGGAGTTAATGTTTCAAACTTTTCGTTCAGTCTGAGCGGAATTGGATTCTTTTTGAGTTTTGGCGGCATTCTTACTTTGTTTGGCCTCTTTTGGTATCAATTAAATATGTTTGAAACATTGGGTTATCTCATTCCATTGGCCATTTCAACATTTGTATTTGGAAACCGTTTCTTACAATCCATCGCACGAAAACAAAGCGAACACAAAAAAACTGAATAGAATGCAGCATGCATGTGATTCAAAAGAATGTAATTTTTTTGTTCATTTAACACAAAGTAATACGTTCACCTCTTCACAGTGATTTGATTCAATTGAATCAGATTTGCCGATTCATCTATCGTAAATTATAAGACATTTTCTGTGTGTTTTTTTAAAAAGTAATGAACGTGTTAAATGTCACATCGAATAAAAATGAGAAGAAATAAAAACTGAAGAGAACACAAAATAACACTAAGAAAATTGTCGTTTGAAGGGATTTTTTTTTTCAAATCGTGAAACTAATAAGTAAAACTCAGAGACTCAATGAATTAAATCACTATCCCTTTCTTTCTGCGCTTAGTTTACGCTTTAATCAATCTGCTCTTTTTTGTAAGTAAATTGGTATTGCATTTAAATGTAAAAAAAATCTGTTCCAGGAAGTGTGCATAAAATAGACTTATTTAGAGATACAAAGTAGAGGCATTTTTTAGTTTTGGTTAATTTTTCTATGTGTACCGATAAAAACTAATTGCATTTATATTTGTGTGGATGTAAAGTGAAAACGCATTTTTTAATGGTACGTAATTATATGAATCTGAACTGATCAACGAAGAACTATTGAGAACAAGGGAAAAATCATACAAAACTAATGTTCTTGACATTTTAACTTAGCAAATAAAGAAAGGAAATTCACAAACAAAAATTGAGTTAATTCACATTTAAATTATAGGAGCTGATGCGCTTGAAGACAACCATACTATATCGGCAATAGCTGGTTTCGCAAACGGCGAATCAACTGAATTTAATTTAATCAAATCGTCATTAAGACCAGTTGAAGAGCATTTGGTAATGTATATAAATGGATTTTGAGTCGGAAAATAAAATCGAAAATATATGTTGCTATTAGCAAAAAAACAATTAGCAAATACATAGCTAGCAAAGACTTTTTGGGAGAAGCATACATAATACAACTGTAGACCACGAAATTATATTACAATTACTTGCAATTAATGCAAGTTGATTTGTTATTTGAGAATATAAAAGCAAAAACGTAGTTTAGTGCATCGTGATTTGAACGCATAGAAATACAAATGATCACCAAAGACCAAACTCATACCGTGAAAATTGTCGATTTCGAATAAGAAAAGACGTAGAGTCCAAACAAATAAAGAAAGGCTTCAGTTTTTCGAGGTCGTTTCATAAAATCTTATTAAATTCATCAGAACGAAAAAAAGAATATGAAAATGTAAAAAGTTTTTTAAAAATATAAATGGTGTCATAAATATAATTGACCAAATTATTATTATTCATTATACCAATAGCTATTTCAAATATTTGAATAAAATTTTAGAAAAATAAAATAAAAACGAATTCCGATATTATTCTAAACCTTCTCCATTGCTTGTAGATGTGTTTACCAACTATTTTTGTATTTGTAACCTAAGCATCTAAGGACAAGTGGAGTAAATGGAGTGCGTAAATATTTGAAAAGTGAAAACGAACTCCGGACAAGTGTCAAATTGACATTGTCAAATTGTTGTTATAGCAAACATAGTTTACACGGTGAATTTTGACGTATAGCCTCTTCGTTATTTGTTGTTGGTTTGCATGTACTGGTATTTGTAGTTTGATACAAATTCGGAATGAGATCATCACTTGACAATATAAACACGTCATTGAAAAACGCCGAAAGAAAGATAAATTTCACAATACCGAATCGAACACAGTTAGTTTCATTGGACCTATACAGATGAAAGGCGGATATAAACAAAAATTCAACATTTTCGTAGGCTTCTTGGATCGTTCATTTTCAATTTACAGAAACCAATTGCAATTTTTTACGGGTTTGTTTTTTTTTAGATTTTAATCATATTGATTCATTTTGTTTTTATTTGAAGTGCTCTCTTTATATATTGATGAAAAAAATCATTCATACCAATAGCTATCAATTTCAATTAACACACGATTCCAAACGATATTTTGGTATTGAACGTGAATCATACAGACAATATTTTTTATTAGTTAGAAATAATAAATGTATGCAGTCATAATCTGACATCAAAGTAGTCCATATAAAAAGTAGCCATTTCAATTATGTTTCAATCAGTCGAATAACTTTCTTGTGTATGGTTAGACGTATATTTCATTATTTTTTCATCTTTTTTCTCTTTCCAATACAGTGTTAGTGTTCACATTTTTAATTGCAATTTATTCAATCATGGCAAACAAAGAAGTTAATGTCACCAACTTGGCCGAAGGCATTTCCAAATTTTCCGCTGAATTCTATCAGGTAAAATTTCCAATGGATTGAAAAAATTCTATTCAAATTCAACATTACACAAATATTGGACATTTTTTTATCAATTTTTATTGTTCATGCATTCCCATGGGAATATACAACCCCGAAAAGATAATAATTTCAAAAAAATAATATTTATTTTCTACATTTTTCACATTGCTCATTAGGAATGTACAAAATCAACCGGTGGTGATGTAATAATTTCACCGTTATCTGTTGCCAGTGCACTTGGTCTATTGGCGCAAGGTGCAAACGGAAAGACATTTGACGAATTATGTAAAGGATTACATTTGACGCATGACAAAGAGACACAAGCCGATCAATTTGCCGTGCATTATGAATCATTGCAAAAAAGCATTGGCGAGTCAACATTGTCGATTGCCAATCAATTGTATGTCCAAGCTGGCTATGAAATTAAGAAACATTTCCAAGAAGTGGCAGTGAAGAAATTCTCATCGGGCATTGATTCGTTGAATTTCGCACAATCCGCTGAAAGTGCCGCAACCATAAATCGTTTTGTGGAACAGAAGACAAACAAAAAAATTAAGGATTTGATCAAGCCTGAAATGCTGGACGCCGTAACACGTTTGGTCTTGGTGAATGCCATCTATTTTAAAGGTAACTGGGAACACAAATTTGATCCGAAACGCACCACACAAGGCGATTTTTATGTGAGTGAGACCGAAACCGTTCCCGTCGACTACATGCACATTAAGAAAAAATTCAACTACGCTGTTTTGGATGAATTCGATGCCACGGCACTTGAAATGAAGTATGTTAATTCGAACTTCTCGTTTGTGGTCGTTTTGCCGAATGAACGCACAGGCCTATCGGCTCTTGAAGACAAATTGCAAAATTACGACTTGGCTAAAATCACCGATAAAATGCACCGTGCAGAAGTGGATGTCACCATTCCAAAATTCAAGGTCGAATACGAAATTAACTTGAATGACGCTTTGAAAAATGTAAGTAATATTATGCTTTATGTTTTTACACACTGGCCAATCAACTCAATGACCAATTTTATGTTCAGATGGGCATGGCTGATATGTTTGGCCAGCAAGCTGATCTGAGCGGACTCTTGGAATCAAATGAGCCGTTGTACGTGTCGGACGTAGTCCATAAGGCATTTATCGAAGTGAATGAAGAAGGTGCAGAAGCTGCTGCTGCCACAGGTAAATATCTAAATCCATATTTTTTTTGCGATTTGTATGAATGTTTGCTTCCTGTGCGTAAATCATTCTTAATCGCTGTTGTATATTCGCTTGTGTGTGAATTTCATCATCTCAATACAATTTGCTTATTTTATTTTATCTTTTTTCATATTTCGAACACATCATTTGTCTATGCATTGGATATTTAAGCCGTGGTTTCTCGCAAAAAGCGAAGCCTAAACACACCTATCGCTTTTGAAGCCGCCCATCCATTTTTCTATTTTATCTCATCGCTAGAGAGCACTATATCTTTGCCCATTTTCCTCGGATCACTTCTAAAGCCTATCACAGATAGCTATCAAATGGAACACGATGAACTTTAAATTTCTTAGTTATTGTTCATCAACCATTTGCCACAAGCTCCACTTCATATCTTATAAGTATTTTTAACGAAAATCCATACTTGAATTTTTTTGTCAAGTATCGCGGTCTTCTTTTTTACTTGAATAGATTAGATTAGAATAAGAATTCTTGGTTTGAATAAACAAAGGAAACAGTATTTGTTGCTCTTATCAATCCATACTACATATTTGCAATTTTAGTGGGAATTTGTTTATTTCGAATTATTCGTTGAATTGATTGAAGTTCTTTCAATATCTCGATATGTAAAAAAAAGAAAAAACAAATTGTTTACTCTATTTAAACTTGAGATTTTTTAAAGCGAAAAACAATTTTGATTTTTTTCCAACCCACAAAAATAAATTAAATATTCGCTTGGAATTTGATTTTAAAATAAATGACGCATAACCATATCATCAATATTTTGAGTGTTCATTCCAGTTCATTCGATTTTTCAATATAAAAAAATCGGATGCTTCAATTTCATTTGAGACATACACCTTTTTATGTTTCTAAAGTATGCGGCGAAGGGTATTCATATGTCAATAGTTCATTTGTTATTCAAAGTGTTCGCAAACTTGTCGAATAATTTTAATGTTTTCATTTCTAATATTTCGCTTATTTCAAGGTATTTTTGCAGTATCATTATCATTGCCAATGAATGAATATTTCGTTGCTGACCATCCATTTGTGTATCACATTTGGGATACGCATACTAAAGCTAGCATGTTTAGCGGTCATCTCACGAAATCCAATTAAATTTGCGATTTAAAAATAAAATCACCACGAAAAAACGATCGAATAATAAAAACATGTTTATGTAATTATTGAGGAATGTGTGTTTTTTCGGACGTTTTGTTTTTTTTTTTGTGCCAGAAGATTGTTGCGAGATCATACAAATCATTGATACATACACTGTTCACACAAAGAGTTAAATTAAATTGATATTTAATAATTCATTCGAAGGTATATCCGTGAGGGCCCGTTGCATGCCAATGTACGAAGAATTTAATGCTGATCATGCGTTTGTGTATCATATTTTGGATCGAAAAAGTAACTCCACTGTTTTCAGTGGCCGCCTAACGAAACTACAATAAATTTATGACACAAAAGATTGAAGAATGAAAATATCTATTGATTTAACTTTTAATAAATAATTAATTATGAAAATTCGACAAAACTGGCGATAACTTTATAAATCGTGATCAAATCAAATGAATAAAAGCAGCACCGTAAAATCTATACCCTGATGAAGAAATATCAAATGAAAATCTTTTTATATTTTAAGTTCATTTTGTTGTGTTTGTGTTTTCTTGCTTCTTTACGCACAAAAAATAAATAAACAAAACATGCATATTAATTTTATCGAATATTTTAAAGGTCTTTCCATAATGTTTTGTTCCATGCCAATATACGAAGAATTTAATGCGGATCATTCATTTGTGTATTATATTTGGGATACGCATAGTAAAACTAGTGTGTTTGGCGGTCGTCTCACGAAGTCCAATTAAATTTTCGATTTAAAAATAAATTCACCACGAAAAACGAGAAAAACTCTATAAAATTGATATTTTATTATTCGTTCGAAGGTGTAGCCCGGAGGGCCTGTTCCATGCCAATATACATAAAATTTAATGCTGATCACGCGCTTGTATATCATATTTGGAATCGAAATAGTAACTCCACTGTTTTCAGTGGCCGCCTAACGAAACTACAATAAATTTATGAAATAAGAAATTGATTTAACTTTTAATAAATAAAATATTACATAGACGTGAATTTTATATAATAATTAATTATAAAAATTTAACAAAATTGCCGATAACTTTACAAATCAGCGCCGTAAAACCTATACCCAATTGAAGAAAAATCAAATGAAAATCTATTTATATTTTAAGTTCATTTTTTTGAGATGTGTTTGTGTTTTCTTGTTTCTTTACGCACAAAAAATAAATAAACAAAACATGCATAATAATTTAATTGAATACTTTAAAGGTATTTTCTTCACGTTTGCTTCCATGCCAATGTACGAAGAATTTAATGCTGACCATTCGTTCGTTTATCATATTTGGGACCGAAAAAGTAGCTCTACTGTTTTCAGCGGCCGCCTAACGAAACAACAATAAATTTATGAAACAAAAGTAGACTGTAGAATGAAAATAACTATTGATTTAACTAATTTAGTAAATAAAATAATTCATGGAATTGAATTTTATATAATAATTAATTATAAAAACTCGACAAAATTGGCGATAATTTTATAAATCGTGATCAAATTGAACGAATAAAAGCAGCGCCATAAAATCTATACCCTGATGAAGAAATATCAAATAAAAATCTATTTATATTTTGAGTTTATTTTGTTGTGTTTGTGTTCCTACTTCCTTATGCACAAATAATAAATAAATAAAACATGCATTTAATTAATTTTATCGAATATTTTAAAGGTTTTCTCATGGTCCGTTGCATGCCAATGTACGAAAAATTTAATGCTGTTCATGCGTTCGTGTATCATATTTGGGACCGGCAAAGCAAGACCACAATGTTTAGCGGTCGTCTTACGAAATCTAATTAAGTTGAAAATCAATTGGATCAATCGGAGAATCAACATTTTATGAAATAGAAGAAGTTACCAATTGAAAAAGACTTATTGAAACAAACATATATATGAAATACGTTAACATACAATAGTACATACAATATATTTTCATAACCGTATAACATTTTCAAAGCACAATACTGATTGACTTTATTTTTTACGTAACTAAAAAGAAACAAATGTATTTTTTGATAACCTTAAATACACCCAAAAATTTAAATATATTTACTATTTGCTATCAAAACCGCGAGTCTCTTTCCTTTCTAATTAAATGATGTCAGTGAGTGACCAATTGGATTTACTTGGATTAACATTTTTCAATTGATAGTTCGCACTCTTATGGTAAGTAACGAAGCCTAAAGCAGAATGCCTCTGCCTCTCTCCCTCTGCTTTCATCTTTTTACTTTTTTGTATGACAATTTTATCGCATAAATTCAATTATTGATGATGACATTGAAAAGTGTGTATTTCCTTTTTACATATTTCAACTAGTGCACTTGGTTTTTGTTAAATATTTTCTTCCTTTTTTCGACTTCAGTTTTGAAATAGTTTTCATGAATAGAAATAATTGAACATAGTAGGCTAATATGAAAATATCGTCAGTTAGTGAAATTACATCAAATTATATGGAAGGGAATCAAAATTATAGTGAAACTAAAAATAGCAAGAACATTTAAAAGAAAATTCAGTAAAAAATTGTATTGAAATGTATAACGACGTAAATTTTGCAAGGAATGAATTTAAGTTAGCCGGAAATTATGATAACTTGGGATCGCAATTTGATAGGAGGGCAGCATTTGAATACGAAATAACAAACAACCTGAGCAGACCAAAAAGATATAGAAAACAGCAAGATCGTGATAGTTTGGCGAATAGATACAGAAGATATGCTAATCAAGATAGATATGCTGCCGCTAATACACTTCGAGACGATGTATTACGTAATTGGAGAGAAACATCCTATTCAGCTCCACGTTACCAACCTTACCAACGGCCATCAGGTCATGGTTGGAGAGAAAATCATGAAAATTTAAGGAAACCACGTTTTCCTCTGAAACCCAACAGGAATGATGGTTATAAAAAGATGAAGATGTAAGATTTTTCTTTCCCTGTAAAGAACTCAATAGTTTTTTCACCTTTGGGGAATAAATTCAAAACTATTGAATTAGTTTTAATGTTATTTTATTCATTTAGGTCATCTGGAAAGGTTAATATCACCAATCTAACCGAGGGCATTTGCAATTTTGCTGCTGATATTTATAAGGTAACATTTCGAAAACACGATCATTTAAAAATAAATAAAAAAAACAATCATTGGAACAATACATTGGTTTTAGGAATGTACAAAATCGACTCGTGGTGATGTAATAATTTCACCATTATCAATTGCCGTTGCACTTGGTCTATTGGCACAAGGTGCCAATGGAAATACGTATGATGAACTCCGCAAAGGATTACATTTGACACATGACAAAGAGACAATAGCTAATCAATTTGTTGCATATTTTGAATTATTGCATAATACTGTTGGACAGTCAACATTTTCGATTGCAAATCGATTATATATCCAATCTGGCCATCAAATCAATAGACATTTCCAAGAAGTGGCAGTGAAAAAATTTTCATCGGGCATTGAATCGTTGAATTTTGCACAATCCGCTGAAAGTGCCGCAATCATAAATCACTTTGTGGAATCGAAAACAAATGGAAAAATTAAGGATTTGATCAATCCCTATATGCTGAACGCCCAAACACGTTTGGTTTTGGTGAATGCCATCTATTTTAAAGGTAACTGGGAACACCAATTTGATCCGAGAAACACAGAACAAGGCCATTTTTATGTGAGTGAAACCAAAACCGTGCCAGTCAATTTTATGAGCATTACGAAGAAATTCAACCACGCTGTTTTGGATGAATTGGATGCCACGGCCGTTGAAATGAACTATGCTAATTCGAACTTTTCATTTATGATCGTTTTGCCGAATAAGCGCACAGGCCTATCGACCCTTGAAAACAGGTTGCAAAATTACGACTTGGCTAAAATCACTAAAAAAATGCACAGCACAAAGGTGGGAGTGAGCATTCCAAAATTCAAGATCGAATTCGAAATTAACTTGAATGACGCTTTGAAACATGTATGCAATATTATTTTTTGATGTTTTATGTTTCTATTCAGTGAACACCCAGCTGAACACTCAATGATCAATTAACATTTTTAGATGGATATGGCTTATATGTTTAGCCAGAAAGCTGATTTTAGCGGACTGTTGGAATCAAATGAGCTGTTGTTCGTATCGGACGTGGTCCATAAGGCATTTATCGAAGTGAATGAAGAAGGTGCAGGTTTTTGTGATTGAAGCATCTCTGGCTGGAAAAAACTTTTAAAGCAATATTTTAAAAAAAATATACCAAAAAAATCCTGACTACTTTATTTTATTTGAGTTTTTATATGATATATTTTACAAGCTGATAATCTTATTAACTATTTGATAAAAATGTTTGTTGGAGAAATTATTTATGCATAGTTAACGCGTAGTCTGAGTTCATTCTCAGTCTTCTATTGCTGAGTGAGGTCGATGAAAATTAATGTTGATTTTAAATGAATTGCATAAATTAATAACAACAGGTTCGAACAGTGTTCCTTAATCTCTATCTTCTAGTCAATTTACATTGTCATAAATATCAATTTAAAATGCGCAAATCCCTACATTTTGCACGCTATTCCGTTCGATTTCAATTGTTTTCAGAATTGCATCTCATTATAGTCAGAAATAAAGACGCAAATTATGAGATTTAATATATTCAGTGCATGTGACGCACATAATTGGATTGAATGTTTTCTCAACTGTTGTAGTGCTGCATAGTTTCAATTTGTATTCCCGCTTCCTTACCTTTCATCGGAAAGCTAAAAAAGCACATGGTTTGTGATGCGTATACGTTTCATTCAATATTTACGATATCGGTCCTGTTATAAGCTGCATTTATGTTTGTACAAAACTGATTCAAGGCATCAGAGTTCAGTGTCGAAGACGCGATGTGACTGTCGCGCAACAAGTGTAGACCGAACGGCGCCAACGTCACAAGCGCATACACAACGCATCGCATGCGTCGAACCCCTCATTCAACAGCTTACCCGCAACAAGCATTCCAAGTTGAACTTCACCGTTCCGCATGCATCCACTTTTTTGCGGGGGGCAGCAGGTAGAAAAAGAAAGCTTTCGACTTTCCTTCGTACAAATTCGCACGAAACCAACCGAATAACAGTTTAGAGTATTTAATCGCATGCATTCACCCCGTATTGAATCAGTCTCGAGAAAGCTTTCATCCAGTTAACAACGACAACCACAACAACGACGACTTCCAAAACAGATCTCGCACCATCACGTCGTAAATGTGCGTATATATTTTATTCAACTTTGATTTTAAGTAGTTTGTGATTTTTATTGGTAAAAAGTTTAAGAGCTTAAACGAAGTAAAAAAAAAACTTTTGTTCCCAAACAATTCGGATGAATAATAAATGAACCGAACTGAACTGTGATTGCAAATTAATGGATGTGAACAATTGAAGAACTGAAGAGACAAAAAAATAGACGTATCATCTCAACCATAAAATCCTTGAGTGTTTTGAAATGAAAAAAATAAAGGCTTATAGTGTTCTACCTTCATGCATAAAAAGTGAAAACATAAAATTCCTGTGAAATTGACCATGAATTCGATCACCGAATTCATAAAAATTATAAACCCAAAGGTATATTATTTTATGTTTGTGTAGAACCTCATCAAAGAACATTTCTTAGAAAATTGTTATAAAATGTCAAGAGAAAATAAACGGATGCCCGCTTTTATCATTCTCGAGTAGACTTCGATGGGTTTTGATCGAAGTCAAATGTTTTCTTGTTTCTGCATTAAAACCGCATTTTATGTTGCCTAATGTAATGTGAAACTTTGATGGATTTCCCCCTTTGCTCGCTGCGCAAGAAATCATCACATTTTCTCCCATTTAAAGTTTGTTATTCATCAGTTTTGTGGTTCCTGTTCTCCCAAGAAATTTCCACCTTTGCATTTAGTAGTGTTTTTATTCATCTGGTTGGCTTACATCACCGATGTCATGCTTTTGTTTTAAAGAAAGTTTTCATCAAGATGTTATTCGTGTGTTGTTTGATTGCCAGTGATGACTTTGATGGCATAATCAACAGTTTCATAGCAAAATAAAACGAAAGGAATAAAAGCAGAATTATTGTATCTGGGAAATCATCATCTTTCACTTTGCATCTGCATCAACGAAACAAAAGTTAATAGTTGTCTATTTCACATACAAATTCCATCAAATTGATGGCAATCAATATGCCATTCATCTCCAGTGAAGTAGAAGGACAAACAATTTAATCGAGTAGCAATAGATTTACGACCCATGTGGTTAGTTTTGTTCATTAATGAAAATTAATGTTCTCCAGCACCTGTGTGGTGTGTAACGGTAAATTAATTGATTTTTCTATCATTGTTTGAACGTTTTAATTCGCTAAATTAATAGAATTTGTGGAATACAATGAGAATTAATATCCACGATATGCACTCGAATACAATTCATTATTATGCAAACTAATTTGATACAACGTTTTGTCTCAGGTATCATTTGTTTATACCAATCTAGGAGGAGCCACGAATTTTTACTACACAAAATCAGATCTTTTGTGAAAAAATGTTCATGTCGATTCTTTCCTATTGGATGCAATATATTTTTATGTGTTTTATAAAAAAACTAGAAAAAAATTAAAAGAAACTAAATACATATTAAATGAAACTAAGTATACTAGAAAGGGATGTATATCCCCTAGATGCCAATAGACTAGAAATGTAATTCGCACACATAGAAACGACGATAAATCAAATACACCGTTTAATACACGGTTCTCATGCCACCACGACAGATGTACATCATGTTAATATACTATCAACCGCCTTTCTACGCACTCACAAATAGAGATTTCTCTAGTTGAATTTATTCAGTACAACATGATTAATACATGAAATATGAAACATTCACTCTGCTAAAACTCAAACGTGTGCGATAAACTTTCTTTCTTCACTACCGCGACCATTCTAATCGTGCTGATAATGAAATTTTATGGTTCATAGGCACGTAAATTTGGCCAATTTTTGCAACGCTCACTTCATAAATTCGAACAATTTATTTACACAACGCAACATTAGCGGAAACAAAATATTTTTGCACAACAAGAATATTAAATAGCTTTGAAAAGGTTCTTATATGTTATACTCAACTGTTCGCCACACAAAATTCAAATTTTTCCACAAAAATTCTTTGAAATGAAAACAAATCAAGTAACTTCATTTTGGTAAAATTTCAAGTAGGTGATAAGTAATAGATTCAAAGTGATTCGAAGAAATGAGGAACATACGGAAAATTATTTTTCAAGCACTCTTTGTTAGTACAAGAAAACATTTAATGGAAAAAGCATTTAAAACATATGAAAACATTGCATTTGAACTGAGGACGATTTGTATTGAAGTTTCATTCATTTTCTCATTTCAAAGTTTATTTTGGTCTCTCTATTGACAGCTCAATATCGAAATCGTTTAACCTATAAACAGCAATATTAGTGCAAGGCTCGTCTCCAAAATTCATTTAAACTTCAAAGAATTTCCGGTGCATTTAATTTAATTTCTCTCATTTTATTTTGACCCCCGTGGGTGTTTAGCCTTGACTTATTCACTCCATTTAATGTTGAAGAAAATGTGAGATAATGGATTTTCTTATCAAATGTTTCAGTTTTAAGCCCAGAATTCAATTTCAGATGGGACGATTGATAAATTATTCGTTGGCGTAATAAAAAATCCATCTGCGGTTATCGATTGTAATCTCCATTCGAGTCATTTCAATTACAATGTTCAAATGAGAGTGAAATTCCAATGAAGATACACCATCAACCGTATAATTGGAAGACCCATCGATCAAAAAGAAAAATATTATGGTCGAAATGTCTGTATTTCATTTATATTATTCCATTTGGTATGTGTAGTAGATTGTGTATGGTCATGATAAATTATCTAAAGGAATCGGTCATATTTAATGGTTAATGGTTTTCAGTGGCTCTGATATGAAAAGTGAAGTGAAAATACTTTGTCGAAAAAAATAAATGTCTCTATAATTATCGAAAATTGACAGTTTTTTTTTTTCTTGTTTTCCATGTTTTCAAATATATTTCTAATTTGTCAACTGCAGTGGCCATAGATATCGTGATTGGAGGAAAACCAAACAAAAATGATGCTTATCACTTGTGGGTCAGACTGAAATTAAAGAAGATATACTCTAATTTGATTTTTTCAATGGAAAATCGATTTTCAAAGCAAAATAAAAAAGAAACACAGAAAAAAAATAATCACAGAAGCGATCGAAAAAGATGAGGTGTCCATAGTCAATGTAATGTAGACACTAAGTTATGGTTGTAATTTATTTCAATACTTTCAGCATAATGCACAGTGATCACATTCATACGAAATAGATAACAGTGTGACTGTGTGGCAAATAGGCACCGTTTTTTTTCTGTTGGAAAAACTTTTCCGACGAAAAGAATGAACAAATAATAGAAATAAATTTCAATTACTGTTAAGTCAAATGAAAGTGCTTTTTGTAGAGAAGTTTGTCGGAAATAAATATATTTTCCACATTGTTAATGCTTGTATAGAAAATCGAGCAAATATTTGATTTTGATTTTCTTTTTGACAAACAAAAATGTGAAATGTTATCACGTTCGGTATTTCGAATATGATGTCGATTTTTCGTTGTAACGCTGTGGATTGCCGACCATTGAGAATCGCTGAAATGGTATCATCACACAAGGTTTACCGCACGTATTAGTACAGTTTTAAATATAAATATAATGGTGGCATTTTCACACAAAACATCATCACCGTTCTAGAACCGAATGCAATAAAGACCAATTGAAAAATACAGTTTCAAAATTAATTTCATAAAACTTTTTCCATGCAAAACATGCGGTCATAAAATTCTATTCTATTAAAAAGTTTTGCGTGAAAATGTGTGAGCAGATCCAGTGTTAATTTTCTGGATTTTTTTTTGCTTTGTTATTGCGTTTATGGTTTCCATTGGATCTTCGCTTTTCATTTCTCTCTGTATCCTCTTCATTCCTTTTTTTAATTTCCAACAAAAGGCATTATAAACATATGCGAAGAAATGTGTTTAAAATCCAGTAATATAATCATATAATGTGTGCATATCATCGAAATTGTGTTTTTACAGTGGTAACATTAAAAATTAACAAGACAATACGTATCTGGATGTGAAAAGCTAATGTACTTTTGACGCAGTGCGTCTGTCAGTTTGAATTCCATGAGGAATATCCAAAAAGGTGTACATTTAAGGTGCTGAATACTTTGATACGTCTAAACTTTGTTCATAAAATGAATTTGAATCTCATCGTCAGCGACCTATTGATGTTTGCGTCAAAAGGCGAGTACCACGAATTAATTAAATAATATATAGTCGTCTAGTCAGAGAAACGATTATTGAACTTTGTGCCCGCCTCAATAACAACGGAAAAGTGTATACGTACGTTGTTGAAAAGTTGGTAAGTTTAAATGTGTGGCGCGCACAGTTGTGTAATCCTCTTATTTAATTTGCCAGTTTTTTTTTCAGAGGGGAACAGTAATTTATTTTGGAAATGAAACATAAACAGGGTAGTGTACGAGCATCTTTTTGAAATGAACTCCAGGTTTATCGACTCTGTAAAATATCATCCAATTTACATTGGCTTTATTGTTGTAAATGTGTGCAAATGTGGTTTCTCTAAATGGAATTAATTTGATAGCATAATTTCAACTCTTATTTACTTTCAGCAGCATGTGTAAAAACCGCGCCAAACATGTGCGCATTTCAGTTTATAATGATGAAACTAATTACGTTTTACTATTCAATTCGACTCCGACTCTGTATGAACTGTATGCTTTTACATTTAAATTGATATGGTGGCAATTTTCCACATTTGTTGGTCGTTTTTCATTGAACGAAGTACCCCATGATAAATACCATTCGCATTGCGAGCATAAAAAAGCTTTGATTTTCATAACTCGTCGTTATAAAAAAGACTGATATGTAGCAGAAAATACTTCAAGCACGAAATTACGCGTTAATTTTATCGCTCGTCAAATAAACAGTTCCTTCTTCATTTTTTATCATCTTGCAACGCAATTTAAACAAGTTTTTCTTTTGAATTTTAATTGCTTTCGGTGCTTTGTTACACTAATCACATCGTTTTTTTGTGTGTAGGAAGAAGTTCGTTAAAGTAATCCAATATCATTTGAAGCGTAATTTTATTGTTTGCAAATTGGTTGTGATAAGCATCATGACAGGAGACCGACGATTAAACGTTGACGATGAAATTTTACATTTATTGGATAAATATTATCTGTTCGCTTTTAAAGTACCAGAGTGCATTATGGCATTATTTCAAAGTCGCAGTGTTTTGCGTCAAATCATCAAATAGAATAAATGAAATCATCATGCTTTAATATTCTACCGAAAATGAAAATGGAACATCACAAGTGGAATGGTGTCGGTAATAAGTGTTTTATCATTAAATAGGGTCTGCGTTGAAAACCTAACATTATGATATCATACATTTTTCAAAATTTCCCTTATTGAAGGGTGTACACCTTGTGCAATTTTGTCTGCAAAATTAAATGTAGAAAAAGACTAGAATTTGATGGTTTTATTACTTTCCGAACTAACTCTGTAGGATTAAATTCTATAATAAAATATATAATAATTTCGTACCATTCAACATGTTTGCTGTCGTATAAATGTATTTGTCTTTTTTGATAGAGAATGGATTATCTTGAAAATCGTACAGCAACTTTTCCAATTGAACTATTAGACGATATAATCGCCTTTTGTAAAAGCATTATTACAACTCCCACGCGCCAATTTTTAGGCAAGCACCTGGTAAAAGCTGTAGCTCACAATTTTATCTGTTTAAAAACCATGTATATTATCTTCGTCGACATTCTTCTTTATTTAATTCGACCCTTTTTCACCCGCATTGAGAAGTTGCGAGCGGAAATGTGTTTAATTTATTTACCACATTTTCTATGCGGAATAGAAAGAAGCCGTTTGTGCACTCTTCATTTCACCTGAATATAATTCATTTTTCTGTGTCATTCTCTATAGAGGATTGTTACAGCATCAGCGTTTTTAAGTGATTAATATTTATGAGATTATTAGGGTGTCTTTTGTTAAAAATGAAAAAAACGAATCGCTTAATCACTTGCAAATGTTGATATTGTTAACGAAAAAAGCGGAAAAATGCCATTTCCGTGAAAATGTGAATTTTTCAACTTCAATTATTTAAATAAAAAAAACTACAATCCAAGACAGTGACAATTTAAAAACAAAATAATATATTAGATACTCACGATTCCAGTAATGAAGCAGCAGATTAAAACAAATTGTTATTTACGCATTGTTTTCAAAGCTCAGGTCTACACAGAAAAAGATAATGTTAGCTCTTTAAATACTTTTTTTCGCTTGCGGCATACAGGTTTCCATTGTCAAGTATATCTTATTCGAAAAAATCTGCTTAGTCGTTGTTATGATTATGATTGTTGATTAATGTCATTGTTCCACATTTAATGAAATTGCAGACGGCATACAAAGTAAATACGAAAAATTGATTTGTTTGATCAATTTTGCCGTGATTTGTTTGGTTTAAAAGAGTGTGAAATTATAGAAATTATTCGTGCAATCTTTTGTTTACGCGCGAAAAATAATGCTGACCTGTTCAATGACAGTAAAAAATATCATTTCTGGAGCAATAAGTCTATCTCAGTTTGTTTAAACTCATTTAAAAAATCAATTTGTTTAAGATAATTTATTATATTGCTGGCGCTTTCAAATCAAACCAATTAAACTGTGTAAATAAAATGATATGATTGGCCGAAAATCGATACCATTACTTTGTTTGATGTGAGTGGCCAAGCTATAGATATTGATTTATTCATACAATGATGATCAAGTTTACCGTATATGGTTTTTTATAATTAAGTTGTATCAACTCATACTTTCAATCATCCAAAACCTCACTTCGTGAATTACTAATGATCACACTGCAATTATGTTCCATAAGAGACTGTATAAAATGCAAAACTATAGCACAGCTAGCGCCACTACGGGCAACTATGGAGTTCTAGTCAGTTGTTTGTAACTGAGCAAAAGTCTTTTCACTAGTTGGCGGCAACTTAGTATAGATTACGTTGAATTCCGTCGTGGCGCTAGCTGTGTGACACTTTGAGCATAATTTCGGTACGCTAATGATTCATTTACTCATATTATTTCTCATAATAAGCAATACCAGTTGCTCTTGAGAGCATTCTAACTATTTTCTCGGTGCACTCGAGGTTGTTTGAACTCCATAGCGAACTAAAATGTTGTTTATATATTGAAACTTGTTATTTTAATAATTTCTTTTAATAACAAATTAATCCCATGTGAGAATATTTTGACTAGGAGCCAGTCGATTCATAATGCACGTTGATTATTCAATAAAAGAATTGAATCGTTGCGGAGAAAAAGTAGCTCTTATTTTTCTCCAAATAATACTGCAATTGCAGTATGTTAACATAAAGTTTTTTATGAATAGTTTATTTGTTGTATTACAAAAATCAGCCGAGAAACTCATTCATTCTTCCTTCTTCTTCATTATTTTTTCCACAGTGCGTAGGTTTTCTGTACACAGTGGTTGTCACCACCCTAATTTGAATATCCCTCTGGAATTTGAGTAGCGTGAAGGTATTGTTCATGATAATCAAGACGAGCTCAAGACCAAATCATATAGGTCACATTTATGGCAAATAAAAATGTACGTACACATTGAATAAATACGGAAAGAAAAATAAAAAGCAAGAAACAGAAATAGAACAATGGAAAATTAAAATGTTGCTATTAATTTCATGGTAGTGGTAGCAAATGTGCGTGCGTTGACATTAAATTCATCTAATTTGGTGCGGAATTTCGTACAAAGCGACAGAAACATAATCCAGATTATGGCATCACGTTCACTTTTGTTATGTCTCGATATTTCATTCAGTGCGATACCAAAGGAGTCATATTTTGGCTGACATAAGATGAAAATTGTTGATACCGTAAAAAAAAAAATCAATATTATATCGATTAACATTAATATTCAATTTGAAAATCTCGGCAGAAACTGATCCGTGAATTTTAAGCTTTACATATTTTGTCGAAATTCCTCGAATTGTTTGAAAATCACCTGAGCAAATGAAGAGCTGGAAAAAGCGACGGAAAATGATTTTTATGACATAATGCTCACACGCACACATACACACATTGGAATTCTGTGTATTTTGTTTGAGTTTGATCCACGCAATTTATATGATAACATCACATATGTCATTGAGAATTCTGTGCATTGACTGTGGACTCGGTTTACACACGCACAATACAACTCAGTGAGTTGAACTCACCTATATTGCGTTACATTATTTTTATCAAAGCTTCCATTTTATATGACCAATTTGTACATTCCATTTCAATGGATGCACAACACACATCGCTTTTATTCATACAAACAATTATTCTGATGAACATTTATGCATGTATCAACATATGTGGAACATCAAAAAAAGAACGTGCTCAACGTCGACTCGTGAATCGAATTTTCCGATATTTTTCCGTGAACATAAAGCTATAATGTTCAATGAACACATTGTTGCTAAAGGAAACCACAGTGCCAATTTTATAGCAGATTATAGACGGCAAAACGAAATGTCAAACATACAAATGATTCAATCCGTTTCCGCTGAATAATAAAAGTGTCGTTGGTTTGCTTTATGAAAAGATTTTTACAAAAACAAATATTTTTCACAACAAATTTACATCCAGGCGAATGAAAATTTATGTTAACACACGATTTCTTCCATTCTTTCGATACAATTTTCATTCCCTCCTCTAGTTTTCTTACGCTCAACGGCCAACTGACAACTGAAAGAATGACTGATGGATAACAGGTGACGTTGGCAAAAGCAACACAAATTGAACAGGCCTGGTATCTCATTGAGTATGTGCACAGTTCAATGTTCAGCTTTTATCACAAATTTTTCACCGTAACCTTTTTCCATGCGAAAAAATTCACTTTCAAAATTTTTCGAACCCAGAAGAGTGCAAACAAACTATATGAGCCTTCCGAGTACGGCAGATTTTCCATGTTGCTCTCAAACAAAAAAGCAACTCAACTCACATTTGAGATAACTTAATTTTAGGAGCACTTGTAAGCATGAATCGCAAATAAGTGGATTTAAGTCCTCTTCAGCTCTTCTTCTGTGCAACAAGGACCCCGTTGTTATTATTAAATTACACACATTCAGGCTTAAAATTGGTTTTTTTACATCATTTCACACGTTTCGAATCAAAGACATGAGCCCATCGACATGAAAACAGATAAGGTTGTTATTTGAATCCCATTTTCAATAATATTGGAATTTCAGTATTAGAATGCAATAAAACTCATTATGGGTCGTCTCTTTAAATTGAAATAAAACAATAAAAATGTTCGATTCTATCATCAAAAAAACGTCTCCGTTAGGAATTATTTTATGTTTTTGGTGAAAAATTCCAACGTATTTGTTGACGCAAATCGGAAAACCGGAGACTATTTCATGAAAATAATAAATTTTGTGGGAAACAAGCAAGTTATGTTTTCGTAGGTCGAAAGAAACGAAGAAAAAAAATCTAAAGCCAAAGGCACTATGAAGGAACAATTGAAAATGTTGAAAATTTGGAGTATTTTCATTAGACTTTATGGTTGAACAATTCGAGCACAATGTATTTTTTTTCTTTCTCGGAAAAATTCAAAATATTGAGAAAGAGAGAAAGGAAAACGAGAAAAGCTGCATATCATTCATTTCAGCCTCTGTTTGTCCATTTCAGGAACTCCAATTAACGACGTTTGATAACTTAGAAATGAAGGATGTGTATCAAGTTACCGCCCCACTTGTAAAATTTACGGTAGCCGCACCAGCTACAACAAGACGAGCAAAATGAGATAACAAGTACTACATGTATATTTCGAATGTTTATGTTTGGTCTTGGTTTTCGTATCTACGCGAATAGAGAATCCAACAGTCATGATATTTCTATCCAAAGATCAAAATGATGTTTTGGCAGTGGCAAATAAGACGAAAATAAATTTGATATAAATGTGAACACAAAGTGAAATAAACGTACAGTGAATCGTATGATGAGTGATGGAATGAGATATATAGAAGTGTTTCATGTTAATAAACTCAAATTTGTTCAGAATTACTTTAATCAAAATACAGTCAAGCTCGAGAAAATTCACAGGTGAACAAGCGTACGGATCCCAATCATAGTTTACAACATACATTGAGAAATATAATGACATGAATAAGTCACATTTGACCTTGTGTTTGTAAATGACATACATACACAAGTTTAAAATGTAACGTTAGTAACAGTAACAACAGTGGAGATACAACAGTACAAAAAACAAACAATTCAAAAAAGAAGAACGTTAGAAGAACAAACGAGCCAAGGATCAAAAATGCTAAACGCAAACATACTACAGAATTGGTTTACTGATGTAGGATCGCCACCCTATTACATACAGTGTAAAAAAACTTCATCCAGCTGAGGTGCAGAAAATATCCATCGAAAATTTTAATTTCGTACTTTGTAGAAGTAAAAAAATATCACGTACAATATATAGCTGTGGTGTAACCACACAATAAACCATTAAAATGTCGTTGACGGTGAAAATTCTGGAGTTTCGTTTGCCAAAACCAAAGGCGAACCTAATCGGACGAGTTGAATTTCGTGGTAAGTGTATGCACATTTCTAACATTTTATATTTACATACATGGTTTCGGGAATGCGTTTCACATCGATGACAATTCCCAGTCGATGGAAATGCCTGTAGCCAAACTAAATAATAAATAAGGCCACATATTGTGTCATTTATTACTGATTCAACGAGAGTATGAGCGAATCTTCGATTCCAAAACAATCGACAAAAATATATAAATATTTCAATGGCTGTAATGGTGTGAGTGAGCGAAGGGAATTGTAGAATATAGACATTGAGTGCACTTGTGTGACCTCAACCGAACAAAATTGTTTTGGAGACGTGTTTTGTTGTTGTTATTGTTCTTTTCGCTTAAAAAAGGGGACATCATAGAAATATTTCAGACAAAATGACAATACAAAAAAACGAGATGAAACGTTATTTTCGTAGCCATGAGCGATGCGGGAAATTGGTGCGTGTCGAAACGAGCTTTGCGCTATTTATTCACTTGATTGATGTTTTTCGCGAAGAAATATTACCAGACACTACTGATGGCCATTTTGTCAACTGCATCCATACTCGAAAATTACACTTTTTGCATTTGGCATGCAAGACGCGTCCCACTTATAATTGGATATTCTATTTTGTCATTTTCCATCACTTGTTGACGTTCGAATCCATTTACATAATTGCAATGCAATCACCATTACACAATTCAGCACATTTCTACTTCTGTCGCCTCTGCTGCTGCTGATGATGTCGTTGAATCATTTGTTATGCTGTTTGTGACTTCTGAATTCATTGAATAGCCTACTTGATATCTATTGCATTTTATGTCAATATTCATCAAAGTAATCGAGTGACAGGAAATGTTTACAACGGTTGAAAGTGTCCACTCGAGATTAATTCAATCATTTTGACTTTCATTCGATTCGATCATTGTCTACATTAATTTAGACGAATGAATCATTTACTCTCGAGGAAAATTACTCTTTAAATATACATGAAGACCGATGAAATTCTCGGCATTTTCGTAAAAGTTTCGAAATTAATTTCACGAGAGGAAATGTTGCCGACGCCGTAGCTTCACGTTGAAAGTCATTTGTTGAAAAATCTTGCTCTTTACATTTGATCTGTGTTGTACCATCTTAGCTGTATCATTTGTCGACACGGGCAAAATAAGCAACGTGTTGATAATGCTTCTATTGCTATTAATGCTAATAAACACGCTGAGCGGCTTTACACGTAGTCAACGTATAATTAGTCGACGTGCATTTTTAAAAGCAATTTTCACTCTACCATTCTCATATGAAAACTATAGCATTGGATATATGTGGAGGGACAGAATGTTGACGATGGAAAGATAAAGCGACTTTTGAGGCCAAGAGATTGTCGGATGAGAAGCGTTCTGAATATTAAAAAGTTGCGTCCATTATATGAATGAGAGAAAATAGAGTCGATTATAAAGGCGAACAATGTTGAAAATATTATGGCTTCATAGATTATGCACTGTTCTTTCACTATAAATTTTTGACATTTGAATGGGGTAGAATAAAAACTACTTCTCGAAAAATGTTTAAACACGAAACCTAAAAAAAACTTTCAATGAAAAGTGAATCAATTTTTTTTTGTCCAATTGAAGTGAACCAAAAAAAATTTGTTCGATAAAAGTGAACCTAAAAAAAAATTTCATTTTAGTGTATTTTACACTGAAAAAACCGAGTGAAATTTTTTTTTTGGTTCACTTTTATTGAACAAAATTTTCTTGATTCACTTCAATTGGACAAAAAAAAATTGATTCACTTTTTATTGAAATTTTTTTTAGGTTTCGTTTTAAAATACCAATTTTTTGAGAAGTAGTTTTTATTCTACCCCATTCATTTAATGCTTCACTATGAATTTTCGGGAATGGAAAATGTATTCTGTAGTTCCTCTTTTAAATATGACCACATTTACTACGGTCTACTCTTTGGTAAAGCGGAAAAAATGATGGTTAAGACAACAAAAAACATTTTCCATGTAACAACAGCATGTAATACACGATGTTCTGACGGAGTTAAAGTAAAATGAAATTCGCATAAAAATACCAGTTGAAATAAAAAAACGCTATGAATCGCGTTTAAGCCAAGCATGGCCGTCCTTATGCGTACTTTTTCCGCTTTTCTCCATTTGAATATTTTTGGCCCTTTTCTTCGGCAAATGTATGATTTTCACTTATATACAATTTAACAGCCATAAATGTTAAGAGAGAGAGAAAAAACAGCATCAAAATCTATTTTATTTCGAGTTTTTTATATCCAAATGTTTACATCTTTAAAGTCATTCCTTTTGAAGGAATACATTTTTATATGAAAAAAAAAACAAATTCCCTTAAAGAAATAAAAAAAAATAATCCGCTTTTCTCTAGAGATTGAGTGACAGCCGTATCTGAAATAAAATGGATTAAATTCACTTTAGACACATCATGTTTACATCTTTTTTTCTCGCCAAGTAAATTCGATTTTGTTTTCTTTTCACAGGAATGGCTCACACCACCAATGAACTAGCATCAAAAACAAATATTCTCGAAGTCAACCAGGTAATGCTACTAGATTTGTTCCAATTTTGTATGCAAAGCAGTCCATTTGAAATATTGCGTCAAAGCGTTAATTCGCATAATACTCTCCGGCAATTTGCATTTTTTTCAAATGAATTTATATTTAATCGTGTCAAAATCCATGCACACATTTTTCATTCCCGATTTTCATTCGTAACAAAATATGTTTTCATTTCATAAATGCTTTTTTATTTTAAATATCAAAATGATTGAAAATGGGACAACATGTCATAGCTAGAGTTGTTAAAAGCTCATTTGTTGTGGTAGAGTATGCAAACCTTTAAATGTCTCGCCAACATAATTAATTAAATTGCGTGTTGCACGCCTTTCATTTACAAATACATAATGTTTATGAGTTGCGCGACATGAACAAAAGGCACACACACACACCCGCCGTATTGCTTCTGGCCATATTAATTTCACAACGTTATTGCTTTTGTTGGCCCATCGGCGAGTATATTTTTTTCGTTTAATATTAAAAAAAGCGCTTTTTGTCGCATGCGAATTGAATTCTTTGTGTTTATGTTTCGTTTATTTAAAAACTATACAGTCGTTTATATGGCCGCTAGCACGACCAGCCACATCCGACGAAAGTGTTACTGTTGAGCTGCGAACACAAACAACGAAAATCCTCTTGAAAACTGGATTGGCAACGACATCAACATCACGCGGCACCATCGCCTCAAATAGCAAAATAGTGGGAAAATTTGCTATGTTAATGCAAGGTTTGTACTTATTTGATAAGTAAAATATAAAAAAAAACAATTTCTTTACTCGCGAGTAGATTGGAATAAGGCAGAAAAATCCATTTTTCAAACAAAAGTCGTTGTAAAAAAGCGCCCTTCATTCACAAGAACCAAATTGATTTTGTGCACAAGAAATGGTGACCAAAGCAACATGTTTTTGGTGTAAAGTCCTTTGTAAAGTAGCACCACCGACAAATTGAAAGTATCAAGAGGCCTATGTTTTCAGAAAGATGACGTCGTTTCGAGCACGTTTTGGCCGTGGAACGTTGTCTCTTCATTTATTATGCAATAGCACTTTGAGGCAGTACATGCGTAATTTGGCAATGAACTCAGGTCGGTCAATCGAGCAATGCTCGCTTTTGAATGTCTCCCATTTATGGAAAGGTGGAATGGACATTAGACCAAAATTTTTGTGCAAAACAGGTCCGATTTTTGCTACGTTGAGCACAATATTGATTCTTTGAAACAATCCCATTTTTTTCGTCACAACATATTCAATTGTCATAAAAATTCCACAAAAATGATACTGACTCGGCGATATCAACAACGATGGCGAATAAAAACTTGAGAAATATGTCTTGCGGCAAAACTTTGTCAAAATTCAAATATTCGCTGGGATTCTTTTCTTTTTAGAAATTTAATATGCATGCAAAACGAAAAATTTTCATCGAAAAGATAACAAAAAAAAATAAATGAAAATAAAAATCTACGCATTTCACATTCTATTTGCTATCTGTCGTAAAAACATCGTTTCACTTTTTGCTTTATGTCAAGAAGTTGAATCGATTCAAATGATTCTGAAATTGAATGCTCGAACCATGTCTTTGAATGGGAAAAAACTGATTTGATATTCAAAATTGAAATCGTTTGGTGTTTGCCGATTTCTATTTCAAATTGCATTTCTTCCCGCAGAGTGACAGAGAACATCCATACCTATGAATGCAATATTGCACATGCTTCCGGGGTAAAATATTCATACACTAAAAAACAAAACCCATTCATAATTGTTATGCAGCAGACGTAAATCATAAATTTAAATCTACGAATTGTGAGGAGTAAATGTTGGTGGTACGGCGACGGTGTACACTACTACGACCCAATTTTTATCTTTCCAGCAAAGTCCATGGTCACTGGGTCAATAGTGATGTCAGAAGAACCACGGTTAACGTGTATATTTCACACAGCGTGCGCCTCTCGTCGTTTGACATCACCAACGCAAGTTGAAAGCTTGGATAGAGAATTGGTTTTGACATTGTCATCATTTTGTTCTCCTTTGTTTTTTTTTTAGCTAGGCTCAACCTCCACGTCGTTCTCTCTCCTATTGTAAAAAACTTTGCATTTGTCGTTCATGGTGCACTGTTAGCGTAATGTTTTCATTAACGTTCAATTTATTGTCGAGCTTCATGACGATTAAATGCTTGTTGTTAAATGGTAATTTATGTTTGACGCAATTGGCCAATTTGTTGCCTTTTTATCCATCCGATTCTTTGTTTGAAAGTCATAAAAGACGAATATCATTGAACACGAATACAATACAAAACTATTGCGAAGAAACAAAAACACCGGAATAGTTAATGGAATTTTAACCAATTCAAATGATTGCAATCAAGTACATGAGCAAATGGTATTCATCGGAGGTAAACTGCTTGCTCAGCTCCAAAGAGTGTGTGTGAAATTAGCACACGGCTGTTCCATTTGTGTGCAATTCGCTTAGTGTTCGCATTAAAACCAATAAAAGTGAGAGCATCTGTTTTTGTTTTTCACACAACATGAGTGGCGGTTGTTTCCCATGAGATTTTCGACATCAGTTCTCACCACATTCGCATATTGTTTCGCTAGTTTGTTGTTTTTCTCTCTTTCTGCCAAGTCAACCAAATATTTGCAAAGCTTTTTTCACGAACTACCAATGAAAGTTTATTGTATTTGCCACACACACAATATTTTCACGTTCCATTCGAATAATGTTGTTTACTGTGTGTTTCTCTGAATAGATACAAACATAACTCAAAAATTCATTAAATTGAGTCTGAAAGGAATTTTTTGTTTAGTACTTTTCGCGTTCAGTTTCCAGAGAATATTCTTTTCTCAGTATTCAGTATATCAAATTCAAGCACCAACCGCCACAAAGTAAACTGAATTATATAGTTTTTTTTCTCTCTCGATGGAATATAAAGTCATTCAAACATATAATAATAAAAAAAGCACACACTGGAGTAAATCTCAATGATGGATTTAGGTTTTACCTCCGTGTTTTGCTCCGTTTTTATTTCTTTATTTACTCGCTGATTTCAACATAGTGAAATGCATACGTGGGCACACATGCTAAATAATATTTCCATTGTTTGAGTGGAAATGCTGCTGCTGCTACACTTGTCAGACTGAACAACTTTTGAATTTTGTAGCATACAAACAAAAGTGTGCGGTTTGTGCTCATATGACGAACGGAAAATGTTTGCCACGTATTTTTCATTTTGTTGACGGAGATGGTTTTTTATTTACGTGTTCACCTGAAACAAACATAAAAACATTGAGTTTTCATGTTTTACTTTTTTTTCCGGACAGAGTTTGCTCGTTATCTCTTCTCTCTCGCCACTGTCAATTAATAATTGCGTGTTTCTTTTTCATTCTCTTTTTCGAACACAAAGTGTATTTCATTGTGCTTCATCAAAGTGAACGATGGATTACATTGTATCCATTGCATTTTGACTAGTGTGTTCATTTGTATTCAAAATCGAAAGCGTTAAATCGCCTAATGAAGAGCATAAGCGATAGAATAGGGTCAACAACTGGGTGTTTTTATATGCAAATTCCGTTCATTTGTTGCATGTTCAGGGTAATTAATTCATGATATTTATTCGATTAATTTTGTTTCGTTTTTTTTGCTGCACTCGCCCGTATAGATCTCATTATCGTTCAACGCTTACGGATTGAAGACCGACTCACCGATCATTACAACAAACCAATTGATGTGAGTGAATTCATTTAATGCAATCAAATTAATCATCCTGAACAAGTTACTTGGCTCGATGCATTCTGATTTACGTTAATGCACGCCATTACTACTGAAATTTATCTCTTAATTTATTCGTTCTCCATTTTAGTTGTATCCGGTATTTTGTTAATTACAATGTTTATTACTGTTTTTACACGTTCAGTGTTTCTTTTAACGTTTTTCGCCGTTTTTTACCGTTTTCCATATATTTTTTCTTTTTTGGTTCGCCATTTTGAAGAAAATTTTCGAAAATTTTATTCTCTCCATAGGTCATTGTATTGTTCGAAATAACGTATAAGTCACCGGACGACGAAGCGGGAAACTTTGAACCAAGACATTTGATAGATCCGATTCAACGTCAACATCATTATGTCATCGACCAATCAGACAGCATCGATGACGATCAACAAAAACTGCTTGATATCGAACAGAATATTGCCAATTTGGAAAAGAATTTGGTTCGTGGTAAGCGCTCGTCTCAATTTTGTTTTTCTATCCTTGACATCGTGCGTGCCTCACAGTAGAAAATATTTACCGAATTCAAGATTCGATTCTTTTGTCAAACGAACCAATTGATGTGCAATTATGTTGTTTTCTCTGCCAATATTTTTTCAAATATAGACAAGGATTGTCGACAAATGCCGCGTCGAAGCCGAAAGCGAGATCTATTGAAACGTGTAATGTCATCGTCTCAACAACGTTCCACTGAAATCAGCGACTCGGAGCGCGACGCAAAATCAATAGTAAGTGAAATTCTAAAACATGAAATGTATACACAATACCAATTTCCATGTTATGGCAATAATCATCATGTGATGCTTTTGTTTCTTCATTCGAAAATTTAATAAAAAGAAGTGAATAGCAGTTGTCGCCTTAAGGCATCGATTTCCTTTGCTATTATTTTTTCTATTTTTTTTTTCTTTTGAAAACGAAATTGCTTCTGATCAAATTCGAATGTGTTAGTTCAATTCCTTTCTTGTCATGCCAATGGCAACCGATATAAAAAACCAATGTATATCATTTCAAAATGTGAAACTCTGCATCAAAGATGTAAAGTAGATTCTGCGTCACAACTTTCAAAATGGCACAGTAGTTTTCATATAAAAACGTCAATAACGATGAATGTATTTATGTAGTACCATTTATGAGATTTTACTAAACGAATTTCCAAGTTGATGTGCACGAATGATTGAAGGCAACATGTTCTAATTTAGATATTTGCATACGGGATGGAAAAGAAAAATTTGTTGCAAAAATTTTGATTGAAATTGTTGCTTTTTTTCTTCTTCTTTCGAATGTGAAACCTATTTTCGTTGGAATTGATGAACATTTCAATCATGAAAACGATTGAGTCAGCAATCGTATCTCGCAACATTTAATTTGAGATTTGTTCGTTTGTTTGTGATAAAGGAAAATCCGGGTAGTAGTAAGGTGCACCAAGTAAGCGAAAAGAAGATGACTTTGCGAACGGTGCGGCAATTTATGAAATTGGGGAAAAGCAAACAGCAATCAAGTCGACGTGACAGCAGTACGGAAGACGAAAACAGGTATGAACTTCATACTTCAAGTAAATGTAAGCATTTTGCTTTACTTCTTAACGAAAGAATAATTCATTTAAAGCGCTTTGACTTTAGAACATTACTTTCAATGCAATGCTGAAAGACATTGAAGTAGAAATGACTTTCGACTCAAAAGCCGTGAGCCAGTAGTTTATTTAAGTTGAATTTATTACGAAGATTAATTGTGTTTGTAATCTAATTTTAACAGGTCACTGATTAGCGATGTGGATGTCGGTGGTTTTACCTCGGCTCACGATTCGCAAAATGATCGTAGCGATAATATTTCGCTAACACCTTCGTACGATTCAAGTGATGGCGAAGACGAGGAAGAGTTCACTGTGGAAAGCAAGAGTAAACGGTACTGACATCCTGTATGTCATTGTATGTGACATCCATCTATTTATCAAATTTCCCATTTGCAGTGTGCGACCAGTAACACGATTTGAACAACATTTAAAAGCGCAAGACTTTCAAGTTTGCGTCACCATCATCGAAGCACGACAATTGCCTGGCCTCAACATGGATCCTGTTGTATGCATTCAGATTGGTGATCAGAAAAAATACACCAGTGTGAAAGAATCCACCAATTGTCCATATTATAACGAAGTGAGTGTTTTCGTATCTATTTACATTGACATGTTGACAGCTCAGCGTTCGTCTTTGTGTAATTCATCTGTACATTTATGTCTACACCCTTTTTACCATGAACTCACATTGAATTACATGTGCACTTATCAAGACCACTTTCGAGATAATTGCAAAAACCAATATAGACCTTCATTGAATTTGAGAAAACATTTCGGAAGTTTTTCCTTTGAAAATGATGTCATCCTCAGAACTTTTAACGTAAATATGTTGTTCTAATGTGTATTTTGTTTATATTTTCAGTATTTCGTATTTGATTTTCACATGGCTCCGGCGATGCTGTTTGACAAAATCATCACATTGTCGGTGAGTAGATTGTATTTTGATTCAAATAAGATATATGTTTGCTGTCATAACAACTTGAGTGATGTGAATCTTTGGCAATAGACGTTTTGCTCATCACCATCTACCACTTACCGCAAAATCAACTCAGAAACACATTTTGGTGAACTTTGTTTTACAACCCGAACTTTTCGCATATTTTTTTAAAAATTTTAATAACACAACTTCCTCGCACTACAAAATACTAATACGCCAGAGAAAACAAGCAAAAAAACTTGTGTAACCATGGTAAAAAAAATTGAAAGCAATATCCCATAACATTCGTCCTTCTTACAAGATTCAGTTCTGTCTTTTTCGAAAAATCCAGTTTTAAAGGCAAGGATAGATCGTGTTGCGAAACAATAATCAAATACGCAAGAAACGAGCTTTATCTCCCACTGAAAACCATATTTCGTATGAAAAAAGAAATCCATTTTTAGTTTTATAGTCGTCGTTGCATAGAAATCGTCCGATTTCGATTTTATTTATTGTATTGTGTTTGCACAACAGCACAAATCCTTTGGATAAAACTTTAATAATGTCATCCGATATCAAGAACGTCAATCGTTTACTACACGTCGATGTCGATTTTGCGATGTTGGATATTTTTGCAGAGCACTGCAATTTCCATTATTATCTGACAATAAAAGCTTATGTTTGATTCACATCGGCTGATCTGATACAATGGCAGAATATATGCTGAATAAGTTATCACTTACATTTGGCTATATTTACATACAGAACCGACGATTTTCTTTCGTATTTTCAACGGAAACGACGTCATCCGAACATTTAATACGTTCCGAAGGTTTGGCTCTTTAGTCAACGAAATACACCCTGGCAAAATGGAAATAACGGATAGAGTTAAAATAAACACAATACGAAATGATGATAATTAATTTGTTCACAGCAAATATCGTTCGCTAGAATAATAGTTTCTGCGATTCAAAACTTCCCGCGTATAGATTTAATGACAGAGAAAACCTTAACCTGAGTGAGACGTTTAAGTACATGTTTCGAGAGAGGAAAAAAACTATGCAATTTAGAAATAAGCAGAAGCATGCCATAAACATGCGATATCTGACATGTAATCATCATCATGAGAGCGCTCTTTCAACTCCAAAGATTTTCAGCAATAACGGTGTGTTTGAAGATTTTATATATAGAACAAAACCATGATGGGATTGAATCATATGATCTTTAGTTTATTTAGTCCTTCCGGGAATATGAGAACAAAAAGGAAGAGATTTTTTTTTTCTGTGGAAAAGTTTTGTTTTGTGAAATACTCTATTTCCTCTGCCGTTCTTCTCGTCTGCATTGTTTTTATCAAGGTCAAAATCTTTTCGTCTTTTTCCTCCTTTGCAACAAACTTCCGACATTTAACACAAACATTTTATGTCAATATTTATTATTTTTAGGCCTGTTTCGCTTCCATCTTATCCGGTCAATGCGCGAATTTAATATTTATGAGTAAAATCCAATAAAAAATTCATTGGCGCAATTCTTATGAATGAAATCTGGAATAAATTATTGCTATTTTCGAATATTCATGTCATAAACGTCACGAAGAGCAAAAATGTGTTGACTGCAAATGAGTTTGATATGTACTTTGTGAGCCACCAATTATAGATTATTGAATGGGTCCAGTTTTATTATTGCGGGGCTCATATTGTTTCCGATAAAAGTTGGTTAATTAAAATGCGAAACATCGAACAACTCGAACAACGGAAAACCATGCGGAAACTAATTATTTTATTTTAAAAAACAAAGTTGTGTATATCATTTGTCTGATGAAATCAGTATGAAATTCACAACCAACAGTTTTTATGCATACTTTTTACTGCAGATTCGTATATAGATTTTTTTCTCATGATTTCGGTGTACACTTAGTATCCATTTCGTAGTTAAACTTGAATTACAATTACTGTTTCTGTGATTCAAGTGAAATTCGCTCCTACTCAACTTCAAAAATGTAAGTGCACATACATAAAACGGAACTAGCGAATAAAATGCGATTATTTGGATTTTATGTCAGAGAAAACAGGCTTTTTCATTAACACCAAATGAATAAAAAATGCTGGACTACGTCTTTTATGTTGAATCAAAATGTATTTTAAGATACTATTAAGTGTACAAAGATTAGATAATCCTTATACGGGGTCAATGTTTTCGAGTCATATTTTCGGCGTAAAGAAAAGCTACTTCTTATGAGCCGGATATCATGAAACCGAAAATGTCAATTAAATGGTTAATTACGTTTGTCAATCTCTTTTCGTCATATATTTTGTGATTAATCTTTGCACTCTCATAAAATTTGAGTATTTTCCGGTCGTCACGTTGTAATTATCCAAGAAGATTATATCGAATGACATGAAAACCACAAATATAAGCACCGATCGATTGACATCATAAAAATATTCGAATGAGAAGCGTGAACGACGTGGTTTACGTGCGCTCGTGCATAATTTATGAGAACGATGTTTCTGCTATGAATAAATCAAAATAAATGCATATGAGTCACATGACCTATGGTACATGTGATACATTATCGAAAAAGTCAGCGATTTTTTCAACATTTAGGCGATATGATGGTGGATTTGATAAAATGTGATGTATTTTTCTTCACATTCAGGTACTTCATTCGAGAAAGTTTCTCAGATCAGGCACTGTTGTTGGTTCATTTAAACTCGATTTGAAAACGGTGTACGATGCAAAGGGTATCGTGTTAATTTCTTGTCAATTGAATATATTTGTGTTTTATTTTTCTGCATTGGATTGTGTACAGATCTAACTAGTTTTTTTGCATCTTGTATATAAATTGTCTTGCTGTTCATCTTTCTCAGAATGTATGGAACAAATCATGAAACTCTCATGAATAATGTCTCTTCTCATTTACTTTCTATTTCCCAGTCTTTCTCACTATCTCGAATTGATTTTTCTCTCAAATCAATTTTCGATATCGATTTACTTTCCAGGTGTTGATTTAATTGAACTTTTCTCATTGAAATGAATTGGAACTGTTGTCAAATTGAAAATGAGTTGAAATTCCAAGCTTTTAATTTCTAGGGGAGAGAGTATTGCTTTGCAAATGGGAGTGTAGAAAAAATTGGAAAAAGTTTCTGTGCCATTGCATGAATGTACATAAGCGATGGAAAAGTCTTTAAAATTATTTCTATATATTTTTTAATAATATCGATAGCAAATAATTTGCCATGGACTGAAGTGAAGTTGCCTTTGACTTTTATACAATTGGTTGTTCATTTACTTGGTTGGTCCATAGTTTCTAATTACGAATTTAAAAGGGCTTCTTTCAACTCAGTTTGTATTTAAAAGGTGTTAATTTCAATTTTGAAGTATGGTAGTTTCGAGTTGCTAAAAATGTGAAAGCAAAAAAGTTCGTCTCTCAGGGGGACAATGATTGCATCGGACCATTGTGTTTATGACTTCAAAGTCTTCTTCAAAAAAAATAAAATTTGATACCATCTAAATCATAAAAAACATACTTTCCTTTTTTACGAAAAAAGGTCAAAATAAAAGCATTTAATCATTTCTACGACTCTCCTATAGATTTTAAAACTCGAATTTCCACATCTCATGAGATTTAATTTGAAATGTGAATATTCTCTTGTTTTTGCTTTTTTGCAAAGTTTAATGTGTGTTTTCTATTCATGTTTCTTACTTTCGCTTTTATCTATGTTCATATATCTTCTACATCTTCACCTTGCTCAACTCAAATCAACTTAATGTGTTCGCTCATGAAAATGTGTAGATTTTGCAAAGTAGAAGTGTTTTACGTCCAAATAAATTAATCGGCTCTTTTAAATTGGATGTTGCAACCGTTTGGCTACAAAAAGGTAACTTACATTATACTTTATCATCTTGCATCCATTCACTTCACCTATCCTCTGCACATTTTCATTGGTATAATGGTTATATGGCACGTGCTGCACACTGTTGTCTTCATCCACATAAGCATTTTACTTTTATTTCAATTCACTCAAATAAATTGCATGCGACCCATTATCACTTCACGTTGTACGTTTATTTCAGTCGAAATCCAGCTCAAATTTCGACCACACTCAATAATATGAAGCGTTCTTTTGTTTGAACCGAATGGCACATGGGACGAGGTCAGAGTTTCTGTTTTAGCAATTGTTGGTAAATGAATTTTCATTAACATCAAGACACTTGTTTGCCAAAGATATTTAGCTAATTTATTTGTTTCTACATCGAAAGTGAAAAATAAGCAAAGTTTTATGTATTTTAATTACAACATCCGCACCAACAAAACTAATGCCATTGACATTATATGGATAATGCATCTATGCAATGCATATGGTATTGTACAGCTTGCACATGGACTGCTGTTTAAATAAGTTATCAAAAGTTTTTCCTTTCAAAAGCAAGAGTTTATGCAAAATCTTGTTTACAGTTACCACAATGCAAAAACTGAGTGAATACACAACAAATACGTAAAATTGTCCAAGAGGGAATTCTAATTTATCCACAAAATCTTTAGATAATTCACAAACTGCAATTGTGATTATAATACGTACGACCACCGCATGAAAGAATTATCACTTGAAGTTTTCCATTTAAAGAAAATGTAAACTTTTGTTGGTTTTGCAATTGCATAATCTCTCGTTTCTCATGTGCACGCACATTTTATGGCTTTTGTACAGTAAACCGTTTGATGATGAAACTGAACGTGATGCGGAAAATGGCAAAGATCATTTGGGAAATCGACAATGTTCCATTTTTCTATTTAAAAAAAGAATACAAAAGGAAAATTAAGGTTAAACTTTTGCGATAAGAACAAACACATTCCTGTTTAGATAATTGTTCAAATCAATAATTGACACCTTGAGAATCTGCAACTTTCTTAAATTAATTGGAACAATCGAAGGTGATTTAACCCAAGAAATGAAATATGTCGGTTTTACTGTAAAAATTACTAAAACTGTTATTTTCCACATGAAAACGTGCCAGCTAATAATAAACATTTCTGTATTGTTTGTGTGTGGCTTGTCCGATCGGTTTATTGAATTCACAAATTTCCTTTGCATGACTTTTTTTGCTGCATGAACCCATGAACACATTTCCAAGTTTTAAACAATAATAATATATATGGAATCTAGGGGTTTTCATGTATTTTTATTGGATGAAATTTGCATTATCGTTGCATATTGGCATATCGTTGAAATATCGGCGGAATATCGGCATATCTGTAAAATATTGGTTATATTCGGGTATTTTTTGATAATTAATTGTTCTGGAAGTGGGCTTTGGTGGATCCTCTGGATGGACCAGACCATGGTTTGACAATCCCTTGGCCCATCCTGAGGGTCCACTTCCAGAACTGGGAGCGGTTCTGATGATCCTGAGGACCCACCAAAGCCCACTTCCAGAACACACACACTTCGCATATCGGTGGATTTTTGGCACAAAATAGTGAAATCGGTAAAAATTTGCATTATTTGTAAACATTTGCATGATTTGTTATACTATTGTTTATTCGTCGAATTCTGGAAAGAAAATCTTACATGAAAGCCCCTAGCATGGAATCCATTATTTATTTTTATAAAATGTTCAACGGAAATCTCTTTTATATTTGAATATTGTTAAATGTACACCGTATTTATTTCTGTTATTATTAAATGCTGCAATGTTTTTTTTAAATTAGTTTTTTTTAATGGAAATGTATTTATTATTGTCGATAAATAGACCATCAATTTTACCATAAATGGGCGTTGCTAACCGATCCAGACGATTTTATCAGCGGACCAAAAGGTTATTTAAAATGTGATATCGGCATTATTGGCAAAGGGGATACAGTGAAAATGCAACTGAAATCCGAGAAAGATCATGATGATATCGAAGCGTATGTTAAATTTTACCTTTTTTCCTCTTTTTTTCGTATTGTTCGCCAAGAGAAAAAAGATTTTTTTATTCGAAATAGAAATCTCTTATTACCTGATGGTGTGCCATTGGAGCGTCAACGGGCCAAATTTGTTATCAAAATTTATCGAGCCGATGGATTGCCGCGAATGAACTCATCCATTATGGCAAATGTCAAGAGAGCTTTTACGGGCGAATCAAAAGATCTTGTCAGCCCATTTGTACATGTGTCCTTTGCTGGATTATCGGTAAGTATCCACCGAAAATCGCGGACAGACTTCATTCAGTCGCTTGCTGCAATATTCATAATCGCACACTCATTTCACACCCGACTGATTTTCATGTGTTGTGATTTAATATGGACCAACTTCTCATCTCATTTCACTTTTTCGATTATGTTTCGTGCAACAGGGAAAAACCACAGTGAAAAAGAACTCATACAATCCAATTTGGAATGAAGAACTGATATTCACCGAAATGTTTCCACCGCTTTGCCAACGTATTAAGGTTTGCTTGCATGAGTTTTATTCAAAATAATCATGATATTTCGAAGAATTGTGCATAGTGTGCAGTGGTGTAATTTGTTTTTTTTTTTTTAACAGGTTCAGTTGCGTGATGCGGATCCAGTTAAACCGTCGATAATTGGAACACACTACATCGATTTGAAACAAATATCAAACGATGGTGAGAAAGGATTTCTACCGACATTCGGTCCGTCGTTTATTCATTTGTATGGTTCGACACGCGACTATACCATTCTTGATCAACACTCGAATTTAAATACTGGTTTGGGTGAGGGTGTTAGCTATCGGTAAATCTTGCACACGTTGCTCACATGAAGCAGTGATTTGATTTTTATTTTCTCCCTCTCTCTTTCTTTCGCCCACACTCGTTTTAGTGCACGTTTGCTCATAGCTATTCGCACCGAAATCACAGATAATGTGGAAATAACGACGGAGAAAAATGGTAAGCAAACTGATTCAATATCTGAAACGGCACTATGATTTCAAATCAATTCGAATTAATCGTGATTATTGAATTTGAATGTCATTTTGAAAATAAATAGTTGAATTGCAACCGACAATGCCGGTGTGTGAAACATCCTATTCAAAAAACGAGGAATTTTTTCTCTTCTCAACGATTATGGAGGCAACGATGATCGATAAAAAAGTGAGCGACAAATCGGTTTATTTTGAGCTGAGCATTGGCAATGCTGGAAACAGCATTGACGGTCACAATGAAAGCCAATGCAGTAATGTCGGCGATGATGGTGAACTCGAAACGGTAGATACATCGGCATTCAATAGCACAACCAATTCGTGTAAGCCCATTTCACATGATAAATTGTATTACTATTTGCCATATTGGGACTACAAGCAGGCAAGTCTTATTTGTTGCATACGTTTTTGCAACAGAGATTTGATTGTTTCTATTTATTTTCTCTTTTTCACACACACACACACACATACACAAACATGTTTAGTGCATGAATGTGCGATGCCATTTTCCCGATTTACGACGCAGAATGTACAACAGCAATATGATTTCAAAATTGGTCGATGCAATGGTAAGCAATGTCGTAAATAAATAAATTTCATTACAATGGAGATATGATGAGAATGGCTACCAAAATACAGCTGCATATTATTCATTGGTTGTGTTTTGTGCGTTTTATTTATCAAATAAAAATTCATAGGAAGAAGGATTACACGAAACAAATTCACTCATTGAGAATGAAGATGCACGTGCTGAAGTGCGACTTCGGTCAACTCTTGAAGAACTGGCATCGGGTTGTTTGAAATATGTTGCGATCACAAAAAATGGTCTAACGGGACCGGGCACTGGCAAAACAAAATTGGACAAAGAACGCATGAAATTGTGCGAACGTGAAATTGTAATATACTTTCTACAATTGCGTGCCAAACAACATTTCTCACCGAATTTTCTATTTGATTTGATTTTTTTTATAGGAGGCCATTGGGAATATGGGTAGGAACTTACGAGCATTGGTTACAAAAAATTCGCTCAAAGAACGTTATCGAACGGCACAAACCTATTTACAAAACTTGAAGTTTTTAGTAGACGATGTGAGTATTGCTTTTGCTTCTTTCCAAGCCATGGATACATGTCAACGTTTCAATTTCAAACTTGATTGGCTTGTTCATTTTATAGCCTCAACATGCATTGCCGGATGTTTTCATTTGGCTCATTGCAAATGGTAAACGAATTGCATATCATCGCATTTTTGCACGTGATTTAATTTACTCGATGATTGAAGAAGAGTGTGGCATTCATTGTGGCAAAGTACAAACGATTATGTTACGGTTGCCGGGCAACAAATCAAATACACCAGCCGGGTGGACAGTTCAAGCAAAACTATCCATTTATTTATGGTTGGGAATTATACAAAATCGACAATTTAGCTACTCGGGATTGCCAAAAGGTTTTGATCTATCGCCCGAAATTCGAAACGCCGAACGACCCGGAGCAATGGCACCATCGACCATACACTACTTGGAGAAACATGTAAGCTTTTGCGATGCGATTCTTTTTTAAAATGTGCAATAAACTTGGATTAAAATTGGTCTCTAAGGGGTGCTTACATACAGTGCAACATATTTTTCTGGCAAAAACTCTTCGATTGAAAACAATTTTTGCATTCAATTCATAAGTAAGTGCATAATATAATTTTTATTTATTCAATTTCAGACATTTCAACTGCGAGCGCACATATATCAAGCCAGATCGCTTATTGGTTCCGATGCATCGGGTCTGTCGGATCCTTATGCAACCGTTTATATAACAGAATTTGCAAAAACCACACAAGTTATCGAAGAAACGTTGAGTCCAACGTGGGATGAGTTGCTATTATTTGATGATGTGTTGGTGTATGGAACGAATGAAGAAATTAAGAAGAATCCACCAACTGTTGTAATTGAAATTTATGACCAAGATAAGGTGGGCAAAAGTGAATTTATCGGAAGAACAATTGCAAAGCCAAGAATCAAATTACGTGAAAATACATACGTTACGCCAACGTTAGAATGGTTTGATATTATACGAGGATTAGATAATGCCGGTGAACTGTTAGCCACATTCGAAATGATTGAATATGGTTCGGAGAATATTGCAAAATTACCAGAACCAAAACCACTAAACTATGACCTACCAAGAGGTAAGACATTTTTGATTTCTGGCTTCAAATAAATCATAGGAAATCATTTGGAAATAGAAATGTTCCATGAAAATTAGGAAATATCGATAATCCTAGTACTACAAAAAAATCGACATAGAAGAAACTTTCTGATAAAGTGGGGGTGGGGCTGCCGTGTTCCATATAATATTCGATGGCATACTTAAATATTCGAACTTTATACAAAAATAAGGTCGAAAGGTAGTTCAAGGATTTTCTATATTTCCAAATTTTGATTATTGAAAATATCAATTTCCAAAAAAGTCCATTTTACGTGAACACCCATTCCAAATAATGATTTAATAATGATCGTTTCGTTTTGATTCGAACGTAGAACGAAGTATTCCAATTCAAACAATATTGCCCGTTCCACGTGAGATTCGTCCACATCTGGCGATGTATCGTTTAAAAGTTTTGTTATGGGGCTTACGAGATTTGAAACGCATTCATTTTATGTCTGTTGACCGGCCGCGCATCGATGTGGAATGTTCGGGTAAAATATTGAGTTCGAGTATCATACAAAATGCAAAAAAGAATCCAAACTTTCCGACAATGTTGAAATTTTTCGATCTGGAACTGCCGGTTGAAGAGAACTACGCTCCACCAATCACCATAAGATGTGTTGACTGTAGGTCGTTTGGTCGCTATACTTTGGTTGGCACACATCAAATCACATCGATACATAAGTATATCCATCGGCAGGCGCCAAAGGAAGACATCACAAAGTATCCAACACAGGGTGGCCAAATAATTCTTGCAGCTAAATCAGCAAATGCTCAAAATGGCGTTGAAGACAAAACAGCCGCTCCATCGAGAAATTCATCATCGTGTGAATACATTACACAGTACGGTGCCGTTTGTGTTTCGAAATTGTACGCAAATGTTGATGGTTTCACTTTGTTTTCATGATTTAAATTCGTTTTTCTCTCCATTTTTAGAACAATGAAAAAAAGTGATCGACGCAAAGTGTTGGAATCGCAAGAGACCACCGAACAAGATGAAGATGAGAACAGTAACGACTGGTGGACGAAATATTTTTGGTCACATGAAATATTGGCGGAAAATAAACAGCCACAATTATTTCGGAAAGGCAACCAAAGTCAGCGTGAGGAAAAATTAAAAATCGGTCTCAAAGGTGTCAAATTAGTATCGAAACTCAGTCCAAAACATGCCAAAAGAGAAACAATCGAAGCCGTTAAACCGAACAAGGCTTTGTGTCAGATCTATAATAATGAACTTGAAAATCAACCCGATTACAATCACTTCAAAGAATGGTTATTATCATTTCCATTGTATCGCGGGAAAAAGACGGGCGACTCGACTGAAGATGAAAATCGTATTGTGGGATTCTTTAAGGGTGCTGTTAAGGTATTTAAATTACCGCTGCCCAAAGACATTGAACCACCATTCGCACCAACAATACCAACGAACGATCCGATTCACGTTTTAGTTCGTGTGTACATAGTCAAAGCAACGGACTTACATCCGATGGACTTGAACGGAAAAGCAGATCCGTACGTGGTAATACAGCTGGGCTCAAAACGCATTTCGGACAAAGACAACTATACCAGCAAGAATTTGAATCCGGTCATCGGCAAGTGTTATGAGATCGAGGCAACATTTCCACAAGACTCGCAATTAAACATTCAAGTGTTTGACTGGGATTTAGTCGGTTCCGATGATTTGATCGGTGAAACTAAAATTGACTTGGAAAATCGCTTTTATAGCAAACATCGAGCCACATGTGGACTGGCTTTAAAATATGAAGAGTAAGTTTGGTACACAAGAGTTTTATACCATAATAACTGGAACCATTTTTTCAGATTTGGTTACAATCGATGGCGTGATCCCATGAAACCAACGCAAATTCTTCAGAAACTTTGCAAAGAAAGCAAATTGGAAACGCCACATTACTTTCAAGATCGTGTTGTAATTGGTCGATATTGCATGACATTTTCGGAAGAAGAGGTGTTTGCTTGGAATGGTCCAACGACTTGTAAAAATCGAGACGAACACCTGGCATTGGCAGTGCTGCATCGATGGTCCGAAATTCCAAATGTTGGATGCAAAATTGTCCCCGAACACATCGAGTCACGGCCGTTATACAGTCCGGATAAAATGGGTATGAACAATTCACTTAAAAATTGCCTTTCTACCCATATAGAATGTGGACGTAGTTGGCGTTGATTTGACGTTCAGCTACGTTCAAAGTTTGTGTCTATACGTTCTGCACATACATACACTAACACGCAGAGGCGGTCGCAATGTGCTTGTGAGTGTATGCAGTACGTATAGATCTAGGTATAGATACATACGTTGAACGTAGCTGAGCGTCGACAAAACGTCGATTACGTCCACGTTCCATATGGGTATTGTTTAATAATTGTTATTGATTCTTTTTCGATTATTTTAAATTAATTCCATTCTTTTCTTTTGTGATTCTCCCCTAGGTATTGAACAAGGCAAATTAGAGATGTGGGTGGACATGTTTCCGATGGATATGCCGCTACCTGGTCCACCAGTTGATATTTCACCAAGAAAACCAAAATCCTATGAGCTTCGAGTCGTTATTTGGAATACAGACGACGTTGTTTTAGAAGATGATGCTTTCTTTACTGGCGAAAAAATGTCTGATATTTACGTAAAAGGGTATGAAATCTATTTAAATTTTTAAAAAATCCAAAAAAAAATTTCATCTTGTTTATATTATTAGATGGTTAAAAGGTCCTCAAGATGTACAATCAACAGATATTCACTATCGCAGTTTGACTGGTGAAGGGAATTTTAATTGGCGTTTTATATTTCCATTTGATTATTTAGCGGCTGAAGAGAGAATCGTTTTATCAAGGTACATTCGTTTTTTTATTGACTTTCAAAATAGTTCCATTTTTTTTTTAATTACCTTTTCTCGCTTCAGGAAAGAGTCGTTGTTTAGTTGGGATGAAAGTGAAATCAAAATTCCGGCACGACTTGAGCTTCAGGTTTGGGATAACGATAAATTCTCATCGGATGATTTTCTGGGTGCCATTTCGCTCAATTTAAATCGTTTTCCTCGCGGTGCAAAATCATCAAAATTGTGCACGTTGGATATGCTCAAATTGGATAATGTACCAACTGTAAATATTTTTAAGCAAAAACGTATTCGAGGCTGGTGGCCGTTTTTCATCAAAAAAGAAAATGATGAATTCGAATTAACGGGCAAAGTTGAAGCCGAAATTCATTTATTGACAAAAGAAGAGGCTGAACAAAATCCAGCCGGATTCGGACGAAATGAACCGGATGCACTTGAGAAACCAAAGTAAGCTTTTCCATTCTGAAAACTATTCGGAAAGTGATCATTAATTTTTGTCTTTTTCTTTCAAACCAGTCGTCCAGACGCATCGTTCATGTGGTTCTTGAATCCATTGAAATCGATACGGTACATCGTTTGGCATAATTACAAGTGGGCCATACTCAAGGGAGTCATCATATTTCTTGTTGCGTTTATGTTGCTGTTGTTCTTCTACTCGGTGCCTGGATACACTGTTAAAAAATTGCTTGGTGCATAAGAAGTTATTTTGTTGACCAGTTATGGTTGCTCCAAAGAGAACTACCAAATACTCGATCTGTACAAAACATTGCAAGTTTTAAATTAAGCTTTACGAATGATTTAAAATGCTTAAACTGTTAAACAAGGACATTTAAAACAAAAAATGAACATATCCGAAAGAGAATATTACATTTTGCTATAGAATATACATTCAATTTTTTTCTCAAACGAAAAAAAATATATCCGATTTCAATTCAATATGCTAGTTCGATGTTTTTCAATGAATTTACTATAAATAATCAACAAAAAGAAGACATATGACCTTTGCACCATGAACCTTGGCCGTAGTTCAGTCACTCAATTTTATTCATAATCGTTTTAGCATAATTCCAGAATTTATAAATTGTTCTAAGCTATAAGATCTGCCTATCAATATAATTAATTAGAATGTATTATTAAGCTTTGTTCTATCTGAGATGGAAAATCTTGTGTCGTTTAAAGGTGTGTTGAATGTTTTAAATAAAGGATCACCATTAATTATGACAAATTTTAATCTTAAAATAGGTTAGAGATGTGTTCGAGTCCGTGATTCGAATGTAAAAAAAGTGTAAATTTTTGAACAAGAAAGACGTACATACAATCACTAGGAACCGTTTGATAGGGTATCATGTTAAGTAAAGGATTTAACTATAAGCAAACCGATTTCTTCATATACAATAATATATAGATATATTTTTGATTCTCTCTACTGTATGTTGAGCAAAAGAAAAATGTTAGAAAATTTATGATGTAGAAATGGGATTAAAATTAAGAATGCATCAGCCTCAAATGATGATGTTTTGCTAATCAAATTTATAAGATTAGACGGTGCGACAAACAATGACCAAAATGAAGAAAAAAATGTTATGCAATTGATGTGCTTTTCAAGGCTTTCATCGAGTTTACTAAGAAGTGCTCAATTAAGTTTGCGAGATAAGTGCTTACAGAAAATTTTATATAAAGAAAATACAAAAAAAGGTTTATTCTTTGAAACGTTTACTGTGATTCATGTGACATAGTTTTAAAAGTGTATCAACAACAACAATACCACCTCTATGTGTACAAATTTAACCGTAACAACTTTTAAATTCAATTTTATTCGCACAAAATACAAAAACAGCACATTTTAATCTCTTTTTGAATTCAAACGTAATTTTTTCTCTCTTTCAAATTATTACAATGATGTCAAAATTAAGTCTCGAAATTTTGAATCAAAATCAATCTAAAATGTTCCAACTTATTCAAAAAAATAAAGAAAAAAATGAATCTTATGACATTGTGTAAACTAAAGGGCGCATTTTTATTTTGAACACACGAATTTTCATCAATTTTGATTTACAAAAAAAAACGACAATACTTAATGGTAGTTTTGGTGACTCCAAATAATTTTTTAAAGATAATGGTGTTTCTTATGAATCATGTACAAGTACTTCAAGAAAGATGCAGTCGTTTTTTAGAAAAATCTCATTCTGAATGGTTCGATGCGATATAAAAATGTATTGATTTTGTTCGTATGTGCCATCTTGCCTCTTCACAACTATCGTCTTAGATATGTTTGCCTGTTGAAATGAGACAAAACCATTATTTCAATGCAACAAATATCGATAAGCCCATCTAACGTAATAAAAAAACACTCACTGAATCACCCGATTGATTTCGAAGAATTATGTCGGCTTTTAATTTGCATGGCCAACGAAGCAATGCATCCCATTCACCGGGTATAACCATTAAGCCGGCAAGCATATTTCGACCTTTCCACTTACCTAAGCCATTCAAAACAACATCCAACTGAAAATGAATCATTTAATCATATACAATTTTCTGTTAAATGTCCCATATAATTATTCGAATGAATAATCGGAGCTATTTATCGAAATTATCATATTGATTCAGAATTGAAATGTAATGTCATTACTCACCCGCAACGCATAACCATATTGTTTATTACTAAATATCGGGCTTTTAAGCGTGATGTCATTCTCTTTGGAATCTTTCAATTTCGTGCCAAATTGCTCAATACGCCAAATCAGATGACCGTCACAATTCAAAATGCTTCGCATATTCTTTTCGGCCGTAAGATGTGTTTGCAAATCGACCAATTCTTGTTTGGCTTGAGCACATAACTTATGCGCATCTATAACTTTTGACTTTGATTTTTCACATTTCACCTCAGTTTCGTAGACGATATTTTTCATTTGGCGCAGTTCAACCAATGCTTCGCTTAATTTCCATTCGAGAAATGTACATCGGCGACATCGTTCTGGCACTAATCTTGTCCGCTCCAACGAGTGAATCGATCGATAGTATGATGGGTCGAAACTGTCATTTGATGTGGCAGCCGATGTCATGGAACTGTTTAGTCTCTCTTGCTCATTTTTTAAACTTTCCACTTCACATTCGAGCGTATTGAGTTTCGAAATTGTTTTATCTTTTTCACAAAATAATATCTCGAAGTTTAAGGTGGCGTCATTTCGAAACTCCAAATCTTGAGCGAATCGATCGAGTAATATACGAAGCTCTTTTCGCCATTCTTTTACTTCCTGCAAATGAGAAAAAAATTCTTTGTTATCAAAATATTGACACACGCTGAGCGAATTTACTGCGGAAATCACACGCTGTGTACAATTATTATTTTTTTTAATATATAAAAGTACGTCATTGAATCAATATTACTTGGAATTTCGCCACAAGTAATTCTGTTTGTGTTTTCTGTTTGTGTGTTTATTTACCTTGCACTGTCGCGATAAGTCACTGAGTTTTTTCTGAAACGTATCAATTTCAATAGCATGATTCTCTGAATCTTCGGCAAATGTTTTCCGCAACGCACCTACGTCGGCAATTAAACGATGTCGCTGTCGTATTTCTTCGTGCAAAGCCGATCGTAGCAATGTAATATTTTGTTCTAAAATGTAATACTCATCATCGTGGTCGGTGATTACGATATCATTTAATTTTTTCGGGCATACGGCTAGGTGTTGTTCCATGTTTTTGCGTTGAATATAGGCCAAACACTCTCTCGGGCAGCGTTGTAGAGCGTTTTTGCATTTATCGAGGTGTGACTGTGAATTAAAAAAAAGCAACAATTTTACTTTCATTTCAAAACTAGAACAAGAACACTATTTAAACTTTGATAAAAAGTCATGAAATTTACCGCGACGCATGAATCGCGTAAAAAACAAACAAACAAAACGGGCGTTTCACCTTAAAATCGCTGTTATCAAGAAATTCACTGCAAAAGTAGCATGAAGTAACGTTGTATTTGGTTTCTGTTCTTATCTGTGGCTTGTCGCTCTCCATTTTCAGTAGCTGCCTCGCGACCGATTTTTTTTGTTAGTTTCACGCACAACAAATTTTCAAACTAATCGACACTAACTGTTTTTCTACACTTGACAAATCGCGACACGAAAAAAATGTATTTGTGTGTTGTGAGGTCGCACTCGAAAAATTATTGTCATACTCGATGTTTGGAATAAATCAAACTGAAAGAGCATAAAACTATTCAACATAATTCAACGACGCAGAACATTGTGTATGTCTTTTTTTATTGTTCGGCTTGATAAAAGCCATTGAACGGTGACTAATTTCAATTCAGGCACAAATATACATCACCGATTGCAGCAACAAATCAAAACTGAAAGTGATGTTATTCGCTGCGGCGTTTCAATCTAATTGACTTTACGTCTGATTCAATCTGAATCACTCACTCTCTCTCTCAATTGAATATCGCGTTCTTTTTTAAATGTGTCACTCGCATTAACTGACAGAGTAATTGTGGTTGCAATTGCACGTATAGCATCGAGATCGTCAAGGCTAATATGTATGATATTCAAAATTGGTCAGTTTTTATAACCGGAAACTTGTTTTTTTTTTTCGTCTAATGCACTGCGACGTAAATAATCACAAGAATATTTCGAGCTTTGGAATAAATGCTGCTTTGAATTGTAATCTGATTCGAACTGAACGAACTGGTATAATCTGTGTGTCGCCTCCATCGAATATTTTGTACTTATGCGAATCAATATGATAAGATAAAAAGAGATAAGAGGAAAGAATGACTCACGAATAATACAGATACATCAACTTTACTTTTGCTACATTTTTTTTAAAGCTGAGCTAATAGAAAAACTTTGCCGCGTACACACCTTTGCCGTGTACAGTTAACGCATAGAAGTAATTAATTAGCAACTAAATAAAATCAATTGAATTTAAAATGCGTTTGTTTTTAAAGTTTTACCATATTTATTGATTGGTTTAAAACTTAGACATTGATTGGGAATACATCAAAGCCATTTTTTCCATTTTCATTTCAAGACACACTTTTGACATGAAAAGTTTCCTCTTACATTATGTTTCTTCTTTAAAAAGGTCATACAAAACTAGATGAGGATACATAGATTTGGAGGGATTTCAACATTATTATCGGAAGTATTGGTTTGTTATTGTTACACTGGGTGGTCAGCGAAAAAAAAGCTGTCAGACCATGTTATTATTGTCAATTAATTATCCACAAGCACATTTTTTCATATCCTTGGCATGTTGAATTGTTATATTTTTACCATCTGCATTCGCATTTGAATTGTTTGGTCCATTTGTAATCGCTGAGAGTTTTCGAGAATTTCCATGTGTTGGCAATTTTGTGCGAAAAACGGCATTTTCCAGTCTGAAATTTTTCATTTAAACTAATAAGTAATTTTTACCATTTCGACAAAGTTTTTCACTTAAATTTTATCTTTTTGAAGAATAAAAGAACGATCAAACTGTGCCAGCTTGAGAAGAGACTCAGTTCGGCCGTTTTTTCTTTCCAAACTGTTCCTCAACCTTACCGATTCATTACCAACTCCAAAAGAATATCGAATGCTTGTTTCACATTCTCCCCTGTCACAGCGCTCGTTTCAATATACGGTAAATTGTATTTTTGGGCAAAATGCCTTGCACGCACTTCAGTAATAATGCGTTGACGTTCCATATCCATTTTGTTTCCAACTAAAACTATATCGGGACAGTCGCAATATGCATGAATCTAAAAAATACCGAATAAAAAGCAAGAAATTCATTAAAATTTAAATTCTTTGGCAAAACGACATAAAAGTGAGATAGAAAATTACTTTGAGCTGTTCCATCCAGTAAACAACCTCTAAGAATGATTTCTCATTTGTCAAATCGAAAACTAGGAGAAAGCCTACGGCATCTCTGTAGAAAGCGGTAGTCAGACTGCGAAATCTACAAAGGAACGAAGAAGAAAATGTAATTATAAAAAAGTTACTTTTTTCTCTTTCTGTTTTACAAAGTTTCAAGGATGCTGACGACGTACAACATAAGATAAGAGAAACATTACAAAGCATATAACACTTTATGAATATAAAAACACAGTGTACATTTTTATAGATTGAAGGGAAGATTTCTGTGTTTAAACAGTAAGTAACTGGCAGTATAACTTGAAATCTTTGCATATATTAAAGTCGAAACATTCAAATTCCTTCCGTATGAAAATGACCAAGTTTCTTTGATTTTTTTTTTGATCGAAAATGTTGCTGCGAAAAATCCATTTACAATTTTTATAAAAAATATTTCCTTTGATATACGCAAAGGCGTCCAACGCATGCAAAAAAAACAACACAAAAAACCTTTCTTGTCCACTTGTATCCCAGCACTGTAAATGCACTCGATAATTTCGTCCATTTGTTTTGTATAGCTAGAATGAAATAGAAGTAAATCGTATTGGTTGGTCCATTGAAGATATGGAATTCAAATACATTCCCTCAATGGGATGTTTAAAGCCACAACATTCAAAAGTGCATACTTACCATTCGTTTCTCTCGGAAATCAACACCAACCGTTGATGAAAAATTCGAACGAAAAACACCATCAGTGTATTGATAGAGGAAGCTCGTTTTTCCTACACTTGAATTTCCCAGAATCAGGAATTTAAACAAATAATCATATTCGATGGAAATGCTCATTATGACAAAAGCTCGGTTCTGAAAATGCAAAACAAATTACCACAAAAAGAGATTTAAAATCCTATTTGGATAGGTAGTCAATTTCCGGTCGATGTCAACTTTCGAAAAATCGTATATACTACTAAAATGTACAAATTATGTGCAACAATTATTATGATTATGTACCAACAAAAATTTTTCAGAATTTGGCTTTTTAAAAATTGAAAATATCAAAACCCGGAAAATGTTTACCCGAATTCGTACAAAACAAAGTATACGTCGTTAAAAAAATATATTAAAACTCAAGGATTTTTCATTGATTCAGATACTGAATCATTTTTGATGATGCATATCCTCACTGCACACAAAGGACACAATCCAGTTGCTCGATAAAATTGGTCCTTGAAAATTGCCCAGAAAAAAACGAACATTTTCAACAAATTCCTGTTTTTTGTACATTTGCTGAGTGCTCGAGGGGAAATTGGTCGAAAGCAAAAAAAGTATTCATCACTTTCCGAGAAAAAAAGTATTTATTCGTCCTGTAATCGATCTTGTTTTAAAGCCAATCAAAATGATGTTATCCACTAGGCTTATAAAGTAATGTCGGAGATAAATCCGCTCAGAATACTACAATCGATATTAATAAACATTCTGTTCAGAGAAGATTGTAACGAGTAAATTAAAAAAAGCATCCACTCTGCGAATTTTGAACTTCAGTTGCTTTTTACATGAGGCTTATCTCTTTTAAAAATAGCTGTATGTATGTCCGTATGGGCACATCACCTGACCGTATCTCGTTCGATTCTCATTGGCGCTCTTTTAACCGAAAATAATGTTATCGATTTTTTAGGCAAAAATATATTAATTGAATGCGATATTTTCATCAGTACTTGAACATAAATTGCTTAGATTCCGATGTTTGTGTTTCAATGGACATACAACATACTTTGAGTATACTCGTTGTTGAGTTCATGCTGTTCACCTGAATGTTGTCACAATGAATTCACGATTTAATCAATGTGAATATTTTTCAATTAAATTCCATTGTTTCAGTTACATTCTTAGCAAAAACCTATTCGAATACATTGTGACGGTGGGCTTGAAGGTCGCTTAGATACACTTGATCGCACTTGATGATACAAATTAAAATGAGATAGAAAAAAGAACCCATCGTTATTCTTCGAAGTAAAAAGAGCATCAATATAAAACGGATATAATAATCCAATAAGGGCGACAATTAAAAATTGAAGAAATATTGAGCATTGTTTGTATTTGAACATCGCTACAGACATTGAATTTAATACCATCAGTTGTATACTGTTTTTTTTTCTATAATTCTTTTTCTTTTGTTTGTTTCTTTATCTGCTTTTTTCTCTTTTTCTCCCTTGTTCATTCGATTCGATGTAGCATATATATCATCAGCACGAAGAAAATACGCGGTTTTTGGCATACAGATAAGGTATCGACTCAATCAAAATCAATTAAATAGAATGTTATTGAATAGCAATTAGTGTTATGGAAATGCAAACAATGTCTTAAATATCAATATTACAAAACCGTATCGCAGTAACAGCTTATAATAACATTAAATTGGCCGCACGCAAACAAGTATTTTCGCCGAGAGAACTTTCACTTAATTGAGCCCAATGAAAATGTTTAATTTAAGTGCAACGACAATACCGTAGATAAACAATTTAATTATCGTTGAACAATGGTTCGAAGGCTAAATGTTTAACAAAAAAAGCAAAAAACAGTTTGATTCATGATTCGTATTCATCAGAGTCGTTCCAAAAAAATGTTGAACACCACAAAGAAATAATCCTTGTTTATTTCAGCCAGAGTTTTGTCCCTAGCACAAATTTCAATTTAAATAAAACTCATGAAATTGACACCCCAAACTTACTGTTTTTTACTCACTCAAACCAAAACTCACTCGAACAAGGCAAAATTCAAAATCAGAAAAGCGCACGCAAAACTCAATAGAATATTTGTAAAAGAACCTGTTGCTGCTTCAACACTTGTTAGCAAACTGAAGTGGATAGAATCACAGTGGCAGTTGAAAAGTTTCCAAAGTGGTGCGTTTTCAACGAAAGCGAGATAGATCGCGTGTGCATGCGATTTTCCATGTTTCTTGTGTGCTGAGTGCGCTGCACACCATTCGGACTGATAACAAGTATATTTTATTAGAGACATATCAAGCACAAGGTATTCCAATTATAGCTAAATGAAATCAGAGTGACTATGGCATGTGATTTCCTGGAATGTAAACAGTACATCATATTTAACGTAACTCGAATGACTGGCACAAGCTGGTAATTTTCCAAAGAAATGAAACATACGCACATTTTGTATTTTTTTTAACCAGAACATTATTTTATTAACAGAAAACCAGAAACAAATGTTGTCCATATAAATTTCATTTTCAACGAAACACAATTATTTACATATGATAAAATAATAACAGAATTTTTAATTTTGTTTTCCAACAAAATGAACAGCCTAAATGAATTGGAATGGCACTGATCGGTTGAAATGAAGCATCATCTTTGCAACCATTTTAAAAATATAAAAATGCACAAGGCCAGTGCAACTGCCAAACCAAACGATAAATGATTTTCAATCGATGTTATCTCTTGTATGCACTTCCGTACGATTCGGCCAAATACACCATTCGCACCATCGCTTCCACAACAATCGTGAATTTTATTAAATGATTCCATAATATCTGTTTCTCTCTAATCTATTGGCGGTTTTTCAGATCAACTTCGATTTGTTTTTCGTTTAGATTGTTCAAATTGGCACCAGCAATTTCACTTTCATTTACTTATTTATACTCAACGAAAAAAAAAAGAAATCGTAAACAATTTCCTTGTTAAACTGTCAGCAACGATATGTGCGTGTGTGTGAGTGTGTGCGTAAAATTGATAGCTGTCACTTTCTTGCACACACACCGAACGAAAGTGAACAGTGTTGCCACAGATGGACAGTCTAATAGGCTTTCGATTTGACATTTCTTGCGCATCGAAACATTTTTATATAGCTACCACAGTCTTTTGATATCACATTTGTTTGCGGTGCAGGTATCTAGAAACATCTCCACAATTCAACTAATTTCATCAAATTCTATTTGTAAGTAGAAAATTTATTGATGATTGAATATTATTTTACTTTTAAAATTTCGACAATAATTTTTTTGTATGGTTCTGATACAAATTTTGTTCGAAATTTTGCATCATTTCGCCGTTTTGTTTCATAACCTCTTAATGTGCTTATTTTGCCATAGAATTTTCTCGAACGTAGAAAATATAAGGTGCCCTAAAATGATTCATTTTAAATTAATTGTTATATGTCTCAGAAGGTGACATAAATAAAAAGAATTATCATTCTTGTCTGATTAAACGTTCGAATCAAATGACGAATTTTTTTTTTGACATCAACTTAAATGTATACTGAGCTTAGGTTAGCATAACATTACATGTGAATTAGAATGTTATTGACACGATTGACCCGAAAATTTCGATTTTCAATAATCAACCGACTTTCAAGTTGTTCTTAGTCTTTTCTAGATTATTCCATTATACTTGAAGCTCGTACGAGGCCTTTCATTCTTCGCTATTTAAACATTAGTTTTTTGTATGCATATTCATTGTGGTTTCCGTTATAGCAAACATTTCCGTCTTTTTGTGGTTTTTTTCTTTCCTTTTCATTCGGTTTTAAGACATTTTGCCACTCAACCGAACCGACACATTATTTGCATTTTATATTAATTTTATTTTAACATTCGTTGCTTTTCAGATTTATCAAAAAAAAAAATTGTAATACAAAATGGTCGAAGACACTAAAAAATCTGAAGAACAAATTGATTTGTCTGGCGATGGTGGCGTTTTGAAACGGATTCTAGAAAACGGTTCCACCGATGAACAGCCATCGACTGGTTGTAAAGTGTCACTTCATTATACTGGTACATTGGAAAATGGTACACAATTTGACTCTAGTGTTGAACGCAATGAACCGTTTGAATTCGAACTGGGCAAAGGTAAACAGAAATTTTTTACCGTGAATTCACGTGTTTTTTAAATCTTGACTGTCTCGCTGAATTTAGGCGTTGTTGTGAAGGGATTTGACATGGGTGTTGCATCGATGAAAAAAGGTGAAAAGGCGGTGTTCACCTTTACATCTGAATATGGTTACGGTGCGGCAGGTAGTCCACCAAATATTCCACCAAACGCCACATTAATCTTTGAGGTAAATTTCCATTTGTCAATGAACTGTATTTTGTATTCATTATGAATTTATCGAAATAAATTCGAAATTCGATCACAAATATAGATTGAGCTGTTGGATTTCAAGCCCGAAGACCTTAGTCCCAAATCAAACGGTGCCATTTTACGATATGTTCTTAAAAAAGCCGTCACACGTAAAACACCAAATGATGGATCTTCGGTAACAGGTAAATGGGAGCGATTGAATTCTAGCTAAAAACTCTGACTTATGGTTGATTGTGAATTCTAGTTAATTTATCCGGTTCGTATGAGGGACGTGTGTTCGATGAACGTACCCTTACATTCAACATTGGCGAAGTTCCACATGACGAAGTCATCGAAGGTGTTCAAAAAGCCCTTACACATTTCGGTAAAAGCGAAACATCGAGGTAAATTTTCATACATTTTCTATTTTATTCGACAACCATCCAACAAACACGAATGTGTGTCTGAAACTAAATAAAAATGGTATTTTCAAATAGATTGATCATCAAGCCGGAGTATGCTTTTGGCGCAGCAGGAAATGAACAATTCGGAATACCACCCAACGCAACCGTCGAATACACTGTTACACTTAATGAATTCGAACGTGAGCCTGAATCATGGAAATTGAATGCAGAAGAGAGTTTGGAACATGCAAAGGTGGTGAAGGACAAAGCAACTGCTTATTTGAAGCAAAATGAATACAAGTTAGCAATTAAATTGTACGAGAAATCAAACTCATTCCTATCAAATTGCACTAGTAAGTTCTCAAATGTTAATGCCGTACGATGCAAGAGAATTAATGTTTCAAATTAAATGTTTTAGCATCGAAAGGTGCTTGTGAAGAAGCACAAGCGGTGAAAGCAGCTGTACACTCCAACATTGCCCTGTGTTATTTGAAACTAAATAATTATTACGATGCTAAGAAAGCGGTGAGTGAACCAAATCGAATCTTTCTACTGAAAATGTATTTAATTTCATTTTCACTCATATTTTTAGTGTGAGACTGTATTAGAAATCGATCCGAAAAATGTTAAGGCATATTTCCGTCGTGGTACAAGCTTGTTTGCGACCGGCGATGCGAAATCTGCTTTAGATGATTTTTTGAAGGTGCAAGAGTTGGAGCCCGATAACAAAGCCGCTACCAATCAGATCACATTGTGTAAGGCAAAGATCAAGGAAGAAAACGACAAAGAAAAGAAATTGTACGCGAATATGTTCTCGAAATTTGCCGAAGCTGATGCAAAGGTAAGCTAATTTCTTAGTGGTTTAAACACGCGGAAATAACTCTCAATTTACCTTTTAAAAACGGAAACATCAGTAAAACAAAACCAAATCTTCCCATTCATAACAAAACAAACCGCCAACTCATACAACTTTCATTGCTGAACTTAATGCTGCTGAATATTACGATGGATTTTAATTTGGTATTGGCACCGATGGCCTGGTAGAAGGAAGAGGACAACAAAGTGGACTACAATTTCGAATCATGCGGTGAATGGAACAATGATTTTGTTGCCTTAAATGGTGGCAGCGAAAATGAAGCCGACCGACTAAAACAAGCCAGTCAAGTACTAGACGATGTAAATCGCAACGTAGTCATGATTTAAGAACAAACTTTGCCATATTTACCATTTAAATTATTGTCATACACATATTCATTCCAATGCTTTTGAATCAATTCCAATCATCATTCACTTCATAATAAATGTTCAGCAGTAATCTAGAGATTTAATCTTTTTTTCTAAAACGATATCAATAAACATTAAATTCTACAAATTAAATGTCACGTCTTTTTATTTCACTTTTCGTTCATCAAAATCGGTTATCTTTGTACGAAATATAAATTTCTAGTCGAAATTTAAGTTGCAAAAAAAGATAATTCCTAAATTTTTCATAATAGATAGAGTGTGATAAAAATTAGAAATACTGATAAGATTAGTCCTACATTACAGTTAAGTTTATGATTTTCAATATATGAGGTCGACTTAAATGACTATCACTTCAGTTTTGGCAACTTATTTCACTGAATCATTTCAATAAAATGTCAATTTTGTGTACCAAAATAGAAAACGTTTCGGAACCAATGATTCGTGCCAGAATCGATCCATCAACAACGGATAAATTTCCATTCGGCAGTGATTATGCATTTTCATCTTGTGTTCTTCCTGAAAAGTATATAAAAATTGCAGACCATATTCAGAACTTCAAAGTTCGGCCGGATGATGTATGGGTGTGTAGCTTTCCAAAATCGGGCACAACGTGGATGCAAAATATAGTGTATCAACTCAAAAATAACTTGATAATGTCTGAAAATTATATTACCCCCATTTATGGATTTATTGAAAATTCAATGCTTTTTCGAAGCAATGCTGACGACGCATATACTGCCATTGCTCAAGAGGCGACTGATTTAATCGATGAGCTTGATAAATGGCCGTCACCAAGGATAATTAAATCGCATTTACCAGCATATCTGTTACCGCAAGACATTTGGACCGTCAAACCAAAATTGATTTACACGTATCGAAACCCTAAAGATGCAGCCGTTTCGGATTACCATTTTATACACAATTCGAAAAATTTTAAATTTACTGGTTCATTGGAGGAATATTTGGACCTATTTTTGACTGACCAACTTGAATACGCCCCATTTCATGCAAATGTGAACAGTTATAAGCAATTAAAGCAATTAGATCACATCATGCTGATTACCTACGAAGAATTATCGGCGGATCTAGTTGGCATCATTAAACGAATTAGTGAATTTCTAAACTGCCAATATAATGATGATCAAATGGAACGATTGGCAGAATATGTTTCATTTCGAAATATGCGAACTCAAGGAGAAGAACCGAAATTTTTTCAAAAAGACTTCAAGTAAATTACAGTTGACAATAGATAAGCAAAAATTTGCTCAAATTCATACTAATGTCAATTTCCATTCATGTTTTAGCTTTTTCCGCAAAGGTAAGGTGGGTGGTTTTCGAGATGAAATGAACGAGGAGTACATTCGACGCTTCAATGAATGGGAAAAGGAGCATTCTTATTCGGAGGAAAAATAGTCATTCATAACATTTGAATGTTTTTTTTTTCTAAGGGCAATCTTATTTCTTTAAATTTGAATAAATGGTCTGCGAATTGTACAATTTTATGATTTTCAAATAAAACCTGCTATATAAAGGAACGGAAGAATAATTTTTCTATTTCGTTAAGAAAGATCCAACATGTGTAAATACTACTGCTTTGCTCTTAATTTCGTCTGTTTTAGTTTTCTAAGCAGACCATCCACAACGAAAATGTCATATTTCAAGTGTTGCGATATATATTCAGAGGCCTTAAATACGACGCTAACTTCATGCCGAACGCAGTGTTTTTATTGTATTTACAAACATTTGCCGTATCTCTCCAGCTGCGCGACCACAGAGCGAACGACACAAAAATAAACATTGTATTTGTGTCGATTCGCATACAAGCACAACCACACAATATAGATGCAATGTAACAAGAAAACATAGAAAAGTCGCAGACAAAGACTCGAAAGAAGTAGACGTGTTAAAAACAGTATTTTTTCATTGGTTCGCTATCTGAAACGCAAATTTGTTTTTTTTGCAACTATTTTTTTTTGTTCAAAATTTATTGATTTACAAAAAGAAAATAAAATTAGTTTTAATTTCGCAAAGAATTGAAAAACGATTTCTGCAAATATGGCAGATAATGAAGCACATTTGGTCGCGGGTCGCGCTGCAGCAGGTAAATCAAGAAATTGCGACTTAAATCACAATGTATACTCATGGGTGTTGTAATGGCATAAAATTCCAATAAGAAAATTAAACATCAATTAATTTTACGATATTTCGTGATCGAATATTGACTCATAGCCAATCAGTGTTTCTTGTCAATGAAAAACGATAATCTTTTTGGTGAAAATATGTTACATTTTATTATATATTTGGATATAATTATAAGAATTTGTTATAAACATCGGACTTGGAAATGAAATTAGTGGTCCGATGTGAATTGACTATCATATTACTATTACGCGTTATATGCGAAACATCACATTTGCATGTGAAACAAGAGTGTTTTCTTTTACTTGAAGCGTAATTGTGAATGTTTGACATAAAAAAGCAGCAACTGTTCCAAGCCAACCGATGCGCACGTACGCCACACAAGATTTTGTTCGTTTGTTGACAACGTTACAAATGTTTAAACATTTTTCGTCGTATCTCTTGTTTTGTTTTCGCCATGTCAGTGGTTTGACAGTGAGTCATATCCAATAAACACTGTATTATTTCAACGATTGATGAATTTTTTTTCCACAACATTTGGCCTCGTTTAATATTCTTATCATGAGATAAAGATGAATTCTACTTTGTATGTGTAAAAACATTCGCGAAACCGGCTTTGGTTAATCATTGTTTGTATTTTGTTTTCGTTTTCGCTTTCTCACTCGAAAAATAAAAATACAAAAATTGCGTATATACTATAGCTGTTTTTCAAGTGCTGTTGAACCAAACTACGCATTATATAATTCTATTTATATTCAAACAAACAATATGTGACAAGGAAATTCGTTCATTTTTTATATGAATATTTTTATTTGTTTCGTTCATTTTTTAGATTCACATTTATTGACGATTTGGTTTTACTTTAATTTTTTAATGTTTTGTTTTCTTTTTTTGTATGATTTTGTCCATCATTTAAATAGAAGATGATGAGCCACAATTGGTTGCCGGACGAAAGCCTGCAGGTTGCACATTTATTTTGAATCAATTTAACCACCAAATTTCTTTTTTGAGAATGTTTTTGCAATTGAATTACATTTTTAAAAAATAAATCTGAGCTTAAAATTCCATAGATAGATAGAATTAATTGAATTTGATCGTTTTTTTTTTCTTCATTTGCAGTCAAGGTTGGTGGAATGAGAGTTGTTCAACACAAGCCGCCATCGAATAAGGAAGCTCCACCGGCGGACTTGGAAGATTGCACTGGTTTGACGGTAAATATTCAAATTCATTTCAATGCCAATGATATTATCATTTATCAAATGCTATTCTTTGTATTCATTGATAGCAACCACCAAACATCAATACGGAATTGGTTAGCGGTGCCCCGGTAAAAGGCAATGCTGATTTTACGGTGCAAGCGACACAAGTTGCTCACGCACCAAAAGCGCCAAACAGCATGGCAAACAGCAAACATCAAATTCATCACATCAATCAACCACGCAAATAGATGCATACACTGCCTCCTCGGATATAAAACACAATCTTCAACGTTGATGGTTATAGCACATTTTTTATTGTCTGAGTGTTTGTTTATATATTTTTGTCATTTATAAAATGACTTATTTATAAAATGGACACTCAATTTTTTTGAGTATAAATTCTCAACGGAAAATGTGATTTATTGGATTCCTCTCTTTCCCCCCCATGTGCGGAAGAGCACAATGGAATATTATTTTTAAACGAATGAATTACAATAAATTTCTTTATTGTGTATAACAAAATAAACTCTTTTATTGAATTAATTCTTTTGTTTCAACAATTTACCGTTGCATGAACAATAGTGACGCAGTTTGAGAAGAACTTCCTTAAATCGAAGGTTCTTCTTAAAAATATGAAGCGAATGGAATTACAGATTTGGATAAATGGCATTCGTTGCACTTTAGTTGGAAAGTTTAAATGAATTGAAGCAAGATTATTTTGAAACTTTGTTTTGGTCAATTTTATTTTCATTTTTTTTTTCAAACATGAGATGACATCATTCACTTATTATTTAATATGAATATAATAAAACGTAAGAATTCCTTCAAACAATCGGATAACTGGCAGCTGACGCAATGCCACAGTGATTATTTTTGTTTCGGGCGATTTTGGCATATCCTTTGTCTCCCCACGAAGTTCCCCAACTGTTTTTGATTAAATAGTAGTCATCACCATTTTCATCACTTCCAAAGCCGACTACAAGGACGGCATGATTCAAATTAAGTGGATCACACTCTGGTTCATAATAGATGCCTTTTCTATATTGTTTAAATGATGGACGTGAAGCATCCAGAGCAACAGAGATTGGCCCAATTTGTTCAATCATTTTTGTCAATTCTCTTTCATTACCAAATGGAATATTAACATAACTGCGATCATTTGCAGTTGTATTTTGCCGTTCAATTTTGCATTCACCCGTTCGCGCTTCGTATGGAGAGTTTTTTTCGCTGTTAATTTGATAATTAATTCGAATATATTCGAAGGCTCGATTTATATTACCACCATTGCATCCAAATGAACTGGAACAGTCGATGAGATGTTGTTCAGAGAACGATACCAATTTATTTGTTTTCCGGTAGAGTTGACCTTCAAGAGCTCCGATCGCTGAGAACGCAAAACTTGAACCACATAGATTTTGATTTTTAATCCCTGTAACTGCGCCCATTTTTCGCCAATCGATTTCATTCGATTTTGAAACATCTTCTTCATTTGTTTGCTCAATAGATTGCTCCGTTTGATGGGAACTACCAAAGAAAAAGTTAAGGAGATTTTGAAATACTGCATCACATTAAATAAAAACGAAGAAAAAACTTACTCAACAGCAGAATCAGGTATGAAACCAGTCATTTTAGCAACGAATTCGTCGTGTGCCATATCACTGTATTCGTTAAAACCAATTTGAAATGTAATATGTTTTTCAGCATACAGTTTATTATGGTGAACGATACTGTCTCGATTTTGTACGAAAATGTTCATACGAAAATCATCCTCAGTATTGTCACTATAATTTTTTGCATTTAGTTCCTATAAATATAGAAGTATATTTCTTTAGACGATATTTATTTTCAAAAATAAAGAATTACCTTAAACATTTCCCAGTCATTTTCTTCAATTATCGAAAAACAATTCACAATGCCAAGTAAGCCAATAAATACGGTGCTAAATTTCTCCATCTTACCAAGATTCTTACTAAGTTCGCTGTCGATCAAATACTGAGTGGTTAAAACGATTATTGGACCAATTTATATAAAAAAATGAATGGTGAAATTCCCCAAAAGCTATTTGAATAAAGAGGTACCTCAAATTAAGACGAAGAATTGATTTGGGTTTTATAGTGTGATTCATTTCGAAATTCCAGAATATGCATTGAAGAATTCTTGTGTGCACATTTCTTCAAATGCAAATGGTAGTGAATTATCGTTTCGATTTTGGTGGGTATTTACCTAAATTGTTGGGAAGTTTGATCCTCAAGTTTAATTAAGTTTTTTTACTGCAAGTAATCAAATTTACCTTTAAAATACTGTCATAAACAGGTTTTTAGTACAGGTCTATATGTGACTATCTCGTGACTTAACACTTCATCTGTTGTAGCGCATCTTTTTAATCATTATATTGGTAAAAAAACGATGTTTTAATTATTAAAGAGAACGTTGACTCATGGATTTCGCCAATCTTCTTGAATATTTATAATTTATTGTGGAGCGTCGCCAATTGAGAAATGCAGAACGTATCTTACATTAATTGAAAGACATTTGTTTCGATTGATTTTGACATATCTAGAGACTGTAATTGTTACGTTTTGAATGAACAGATGTGTATTTATTCACAGTACACCGAAAAATTATCTACCAACAAAAGCTTCGTGACATAATTGATATCAGATATTTTGTGTTTCAAATGTTGGTTTCGTCACTGTTCTTCACCTCAATAGACAATGAGCGCTAATATCGTAGATTTTTCTTTATCGATTCCACCAATACGACATCTACTAAAAAACTCGCCGATTTCTGTTACTAGGGGTGTTTTAATACAGCTGGTGTAAACGTACAAAGGAACACACAGACTCCGATTCTGTGTATGCGTATGTATTACAAATTCTGCACTCAGTCGTCAATCGTAGCTGCTTGTGCGAAATTTACAATACATACGCATACACAGGATCGGAGTCTGTGTGTTCTTTTGTATTAGTTCATCTGTAATACAGCCATAGCCGTATAGTTCGTTTGAGCTGTGTCAAAGCAACAGTAGTTACAAAAATCGGTATCTTTTTTAACAGATGTCGTATTCGTAGATCCGATAAAATTAATTTGTATTTGGTGATTTAGACCATTTAGTGGTGTTCGAGAATTGAAAAAAAAAATCATTTTTTTTTCACTTTTTTGCTCTATACCGAGTTTCCGAGACTTTCATATAAACTCGCCTTGCAATAGCCAAATGACGCCTATTGATTCAATCACGATTGGTATTCGCTTACTATTCAATAGTGATCACATAGCAAGTTTATATGAAACTCTCGGAGACTCGGTATAGAGCACTCAAACAGTGAAAAAAGTTCAGATCGTGATTTGGATGATAAGGAATGCGATTTTTTTCATTCTGATTTCACCAGGTGATACAGAAAATTGAGTAGTATTTGAGAATTGAGGAAAAAAAATTTAATTATTTTTTTCATTTTTCGCGATTTTTTATACCATCTATATGGGAGGATTGTATGAAAAACACGGAAGACCGCTGAAATGGCACTGCCGTAGGTCCGTATATATTTGGCATTTGCCATTTCAGCGGTCTTCCGTGTCTTTTTCATACAAGCCTCCCATATAAATGATAAAAAATCGTGAAAAATGAAAAAAATTATTAATTTTTTTTCTTCAATTCTCAGATACTTCTCAACTTTCTGTATCACCTGGCGAAATCAAAATGAAAAAATCGCGTTCCTTATCACCCAAATCACGATCTGGATTTTTTTCACTTTTTGAGTGCTCTATACCGAGTCTCCGAGAGTTTCATATAAACTTCCCATGTAACATCTATTGAATAGTGACCGAATGCCAATCACGATTTCAATGATAAGGAATTAGAGTTTTTTCATTCTGATTTTATCAGATGATACAGAAAATTGAATAGAATTTGTAAATCGAAGAAAAAAAAATTATTTTTTTTTTCATTTTTAGCGATTTTTTTAACGGGAGACCGCTGAAATAAATAAAAATTCAACATGATAAAAATGTAAATAAAATACCAACTTGATAGGACTTCCAATAAAACGGGAACTTATTTGCTTTGAAAATAAAACACCACCGTGCGCAGCGTAAAAATAAAAGTTCAACGTGTTTAGAGTGAAAATAAAAGACCAACATGAATCATGTTGCTCTTTTATTTTCATCTCAGTTTAGTTGGTCATTTATTTTTACCGATTTCATGATTGAGATTTTTTTATATGAAAATTTGAGCTCACTTTTATCCTAACCCAATCAATTGAGATGATTCATTTTCATATTCAATGCATCATTTTTATTCAATTTTATGCTACAAAGAAACTTTTAAACTCACATTTTCGGATAGGTTTCAATTGGAATTTTCCAATAAAAAAAATACCAAATTTGAAAAATGACAAATGTATCGCAGTTTATTAATAAATATTTATTTGCGTTTTCCCAATCCCAACCGAAATAGATCAAAATAGAATATCAGACACATTTTACAATTAATTATTTCTTATTTTAAAATCTGTGATTTATTTCTTTCAGAATCCTTTTTCGCAAATAAAAGGTCAGAAAATAAATGATAGTCCACTTTATGGCATTTATAGCTTTATCGCGAAGTATTTTACCTTATAAAAAGATATTGCCTTCGTTTATAATTATCGATTGTAGTCAGTAATAATATGCAAAATGTTCAAAGCACTCACGTGATTAACATTACCTGGCTGAAGAAAATCGATGATGTGAAACAAAAATACGAGAAATAAAAGACGCTGTCGTTTCATTTCATAAATATTTTAAAAGTGATTATTTTCATAGCTTTACAACAAATGACAGTGATTTTCGGACATTTTCCGTGTTTACTTATCCACTAGGTATCATTATAACATTGTCATGCATTTTCAAAATTCACAAAATTCGAGTAAAAAAATTATATAATTGGATAAAGAGCAGCTGACGCAATACCGCAATGATTTTTTCGGTTTCTTGCCAATTTCATGTACCCCTTCTCTCCCCAATCGTCGCCCCAAGAATTCTTGATGATGTAAAAGGCTCCGTGCTTGCTGTCATTCCCATAGCCAACAACTAAAACAGCATGACTTAAATAATGTGGGCGGCATTTTGGTTCATAATAAACTCCGCCATGGTAATGTTGGAATGATTCATGTGAAGAGTCGACACACACTGTTTACAAAGGAATAAACGTTTCGTTAATATTTCATGTTAGTCTTTGAATAATTGGTCTAAATTTCGAGTAATTCATCTAACAAATTGCAATGAAATTGTTGTACCTGATATTGGGCCGACCGTGGCAATGGCTTTTTGCAATTGCATTTCATCGCCTTCAGAAATCGTTTTATATCCCCTTAATTCAGCCACTGAATTTTTTGGTTTATATTTACACAAACCACCCGATGCTTTAGAAAGAGAACAATTTCAGTTATCATTGGAAAAGAGCATGTAGACAGCCACATTAAACACATACCTTTGTACGGATATGACCTTTCAGTAAAATAAAATGATATAAAAATATTTTTTCTAGTATTAATTATTATTATAATATTTACTTTTCAGTATCGACTCCTCCATTTTCTTTGACATAATCCATGGCTCTAGCTGTTGATTGGCCACGACACTTGTTCTTTATGCTTTGTTCAGTATCTACACAATCGACAAGATTTTGGACCGATAACGGCACCAAATGACCGGTTTTACGAAAATATTGTCCCTCAATTGCTCCGATCACGCTAAAAGCCCAGCAAGAACCACATCTACCCTGTTCTTCCACTTTTGAAACCTACAAATATACAAATGTAAACATTTCATATCTTATGAATGTGGTTCTTCACTTACACCGCCTTTCGATCGCCAATCAATGGATTTTGGTAAGGATTCTTCCGTCATTTCAACCAATTCACAATGAGACTCATTTTTTCTATATGGTGGTTCACATTTTAAATAAGATAAAATTGCAGTCGATTCGAATAAAATGTTAAGGTACCTGAAATGTTCATGTCGTGCGCCATTCATAAGAGATACAAATTCCATGTGCGGAATATCACTGTATGCATTCAAACTCATTGTATATGATGCAAGCCCTTTGTCATAAAGTTGATTGTGTTTGACAATTTCTTGTTTGTGTTTTAAATAGATTTCCATATGCATCCTGTCTTCGTCTTGATTTTGGTAGTTTTTCGAATACTTTGACTGGAAAAAAGGCCGTTTTATAAGAAAATATTTCGTGTATATTTTTTTTTGAATTTGAAAATTCATTTCACCTTATATGCACTCCAGTTATGCATATCAATAACCGATGCGGTATTGAGGGCTATTAACAGACACGTAATTACAATAACACATTTTTTCATTTTCTGTAAATAAAAGTATATTAAACTCAAACTCAGCAATAAAATTAATTCTTAAACACACATATTCAATGAAAAATACGGCTCTCCTTAAATTGACGAATCAACACTAAATAATTGCTCAATTGAGCGACCACTTTATATACAGTTTGTGTGGAACAATTTACACAAAAACTCAGAACTTATTATTGAGAATTCTAATTTTCACCTGATTACGAATTCTGTTGATTTTATTACGTACTTCAGTTTTCACAGTACCCTATTCTCAATTACATATTTTGTTCTCGAGAATTTAAATCGTACAAAACAAATCTGTTTTCTTTTTCCGGAAAAAATGATGATGTAAATGGGAGTTGCGTTGAAAAAATATGTATTTTAAGATGAATCAACGTTTGAGTTCATACAAGACATGTGATTCATTCAATTAATTTCTTAAAATCTTGTTACAATTAAATGGGTAAAAATAATAACGATCTCCATCCAATTATCCGTTGAAAAAATACTGATACAAGATATTGAGTAACAACAATCAACGAAATATTAAAAACTATTAAAGAAAGAAAACAAAAGAAATTTGTTTTTATTTACGACAGTTCGAATAAGATAAATTATAGGAACATTTTGAAGGAAATGAACGGCCTCTACTGGCCTACAAAGCTGGCATTTGGTAATGCTAAAAATTGCGTCAGTATAAGTAGAGGCTGTTCATTTCCTCGAAAATGTTCCAATAATTTATCTTATTAAAAACTATGTCTATATTAATACTATAGTATAATCCAAAGTGGTCATCGTCGTAAAACTGTTGGGGTTAAGGAAAAAAGAATAACATCTGCAAATGGGCAGAGCTAAAAAAGGTAATTAACAATGATGAGGCCCTTCTCATTAGATAGATCATAATTAGCATTACTGATTACCCCAAAAATAAGCTTCATGAATTTTTCCTCGAATATATCATTCAAACAATCGGAAAAGTTGCATCGGTAGCGATGCCACAATGATTTTTTCGATTTCTTGGCATGTAAACGTAACCTTCGTCACCCCAGTCGTCACTCCAACTATTTTTTACGATATAAAAGTCCTTTCCATGATCATCAGTGCCATATCCAACAATTAAAACGGCATGATTTAAATCATCTATATTTGAACTGCATTGCGGTTCATGATAAATTCCGCTTCCATAATGTTGAAATGACTCATGTGATGCATCGATGCAAGTAGAAATCTGTGGAAACATTGAATAAGGATTAAGGCTTACCCATGAGCAAAAAAGAGACTTACAAATCAGTCAAGTATAAATGAATTAATTCAACGTTAACTGGCTATGTTGATTCAAGTATATTGGTTTTCATACAAATATTCAAATCATATTAGTCGGCTATTTTGGGATGTTATCGTCTGATTGCAAAGTTGCATATAATCGTCTTATAATGTTCAAAACAGTCAAAATGTCCCAAATTAGCCAACAATTTAAAGATACGGACATGAATAAACTTGGTGAGATTCTCACCGTGAGAGATACAAAGACTGATTAAAAAATATATTGGGCGACTCGGATGCCTGTGGATGCTATAACATGAAATAGTAGCATCGGGTAGCTTTCAAATCACAAAATATGCCTTGAGTCAAGCTCAAGATCCTTGACCATGTTTAATACTCACGGGCCCGACTGTGGCAAGTGCTTCTTGTAATAATTTTTCATCGCCCGTTGGTATATTACTATAGCTTCGAATTTTTGCACCCGAATTTCGTGATTTGTACTTGCAGGAACCACTAACCGCTATATAAGTAGGAAATAAGTTATATTGTTACTGTCGCCGCTGGCTTTTTTTATCACAGCTAAACACGTACCTTTGTACGGATATGACCTTTCAGTAAAATGACAATAAAAAAATTGGTAAAATAAAATATTTAGTGTATGTATAATTTACCTTTCAGTATCTATGCCTCCATTACGTATGACATAGTCAAACACCTCATGTATCGTGTGTGCAACACAACTATCTCGTTCAGTGCGATTCATACAATCGATAACATTTTGCTCAGACAATTGAACCAAATGGCCTGTCTTACGGAAATGTTGTCCTTCAATCGAACCAACGGCGCTGAATGACCAGCAAGAATGGCAATGATCTTGCATCTTTACCTAAAAGTTGGTTGAACAACAAAAATATAGCCAAAAAGTTAAGAAAAACTTTCTTGATAAACTGTTGCCAGTGAAATTACCGGTGAAACAGCTCCCTTTTTTCTCCAATCGATTGATTTGGGAAGAACGAAATTTGCAGATCCCTTAAAGTATGTTGAATGATCGATTGTTGCATTTTTTCTATAAAAAAATCGATTAATTGGAAAGACCTCTTTGTATCAATGAGCGTATATACCTGGCTTTTCGCACATGCATATATGCACGCATATGAAATACAAAATCTTTATGCGGAATATCGCTAAATTTATTCAATTTCATTTTGAAAGACGAAAGACCCTTCTCAAATAAGTGATTGTGATTGATAATATCATCTGAATGCTTTGAAAATGCTGAATTGCGCAATGTCTCTTCGAATTGATCTCGAAACTTTTTTAGAGCTTTTTCCTAAAAAGTTAAAACGTAATATTCTCTTTCAAATTGACGTCAGAGTGCCACTCACCTTGAAAGAATCCAATTGATCTTTAACGGAAGATTCGTTATTGGGTATTCCATTTACAGCAAATAAAACACCAAATAAAACGATCAATTTATTCATAATGCTGGTGTCTGTGAATTAGAAAAAAACATATAACAAACCAAAAAAACGAAAAAATTCCACAACGTCAATTTATTTTTGCATGGGTGGACGGTTATAATGACGCTTGTTTTTAACATTTGTAGAACACATTTTTGCAGCTGTAAAAACAATTATGGCTTTTAAACAACAAAAAAATAAAATAAATTGTTTTACTTCTCTTGGGAATTCAAACAATTCAATAAAAATGTATTGATCTGTTAACGACTCACAATTAACTGAATTCGCAGAATTAAAGTACCATTTTTATATATGAACCTTAACAATAAGTCACCATCATTATTTCAACGCCTTTGAATTCTTACAAAAATGTTCGTATTGAAGCGCATGTTCTTTATTTGTTATATGCCTTTATTCTGTTGATTGAGTCTATGCGTAAGATGTATTGTGGATTTTGAATTACTTTGCTACTGATAACGTCACCATTTACAGTCTTTTTTCCGACATTCTTATTGTCCAAATTGAGTTTGCTCATGTTTGCAAATTTGCTTTTTTTTTTTTAAAATGCATGTACGAACACAAGTGCTGAGAACGTATTATCGCATGAGACTGGCGCTTATAAGGTTATAAGAAATAATTTAAACTCAAAAAATGGTAATGTTTTATTGATCGTATAATTAGTTTATGATTTTTGGACGTGATTGCACGCACGAAAGATCAAATTGAAATATTGATTTTTTATCAATAATTCCGTGTAAAATCAATAAGATGTTTTTCATTTTAATTTCACGATATTACTGTAAAATAAAACTATAGTTAAGTGTAGAAAATGAGCAGTTTAAAAGTAGAAGACAGTATGTCGCAGTATAAACGCTTTCAAGTTTGTTGTGCGAAGGAACGTTGAAGTAAAATGAAAAAGGAATTGGTTTTGTTGTGCGCATTCATATATTTGGCAACTGCATTGAATACATCATATCCATGTAAATTGGTTAAAGTTGAATATGGATATAATTGTGAGTGCACAGAAAGTTTCTGTGATACTTTAAACATACCAGAGCCTAAACTTGGATTTATCTTCGTAACCTCATCGGAAAGTGGTTATCGGTTCTCCTACAAACACGGAGAATTCTCGCTGTACAACTCATTTGATAAAGCAAATGTTCTAGTTATTGATCAAACCATAAAACATGAGAAATCTAAGATTGTTGGTTTCGGCGGCGCCTTCACCGGGACTGTGTCATATATTTTGGAGCAATTCTCACCAAAATTGAGACAATTATTTTATAATGCCTATTATTCGAAAGATACCGGAATAGGTTACAATTTGTTGCGCGTACCAATCGGTGGTACAGATTTTGATTTGACAGCATGGACCTATGATAATGTAAATGAAACCGATACGGCGCTTTTATACTTCAAAACCCTCGATAAAAGAGACATAGTACGTAATCAACAAATCAAGCAATTGCAAAAAGTGTCTGGAAATGATGATATAAAATTGGTAAGCGCCAGTTGGTTGGCTCCGCTGTGGATGAAAGCGGGACAAAAAATGGACGGCTATGCTGAAAATTGTATTATTCCAGAGTTTTATGAAACATGGGCAAATCTGCACATAAAATGGTTGAAACTTATGGAAGATGATGGCGTTATGATTTGGTGTCTGTCCACAGGAAATGAACCAGACTTTATGAAAATAATGGGAAATGAATGGTTATTGACAAGTTGGATAGCAGGTGATCAGTCCGACTGGTTTGTGAAGTACTTGGTGCCAGCTTTGAAGAAATCTGGAAATTCAAATATTAAAATCCAAATTTTTGATGATATGAGAAATAGTAGCTTAGAATATTTGGATGAGATGACTGCACGGCACAATGATCTGATGCAATATACAGATTTTATTGCCATACATGGTTACTTTGACGGAGTGTCATCACCCGAAATTCTAGGTGAATTACAGGCGAAATATGACAAACAAATTCTATACACAGAGATGTGTTTTGGCCTATTTGAAGGTGTAAGAGCTGGAGCATGGTCCCGAGCTGAAGAAATGATAGCCACACTAATGGGTGCATTACAACATAATGTTGCCGCATACATTGATTGGAATTTAATGTTGAATTCGACAGGTGGACCTTCATATGTTCAACAGCTGGATGCCCCCATTATTACTAATGAAGACTATTCAGCATTTTACAAACAACCTATGTATTTTGCGATGGCACATTTTTCTAAATTCATAGCGCCCGGTTCGTTTAGAATCAATTCAACGCTTCTGGGGCTTAACGAGACACAAGTAAGGACAGTGGCTTATCTAAGACCTGATAATAAGGTTTGTATTGTTTTGGTCAACAGTTTGGAAGAACCAATTTCATTAACGCTGGTAGATGGACTGAAAGGAGAAACAAAACTACAGTTGATACCTAAGTCAATAAATACATTGATCTATTGAAGAAAAAAGATAATACCGAAATAAAATAATCTGGTTTTTATTTGGGTTTTTATTTAACATACATTTTTCAACAAAAATCTTATATTTAAAGAACAAAATCGCAAATAAATTACGTAAAATTAAAATGGTCAAATCAAAGGGTAGCTCGCTGAAGTTGCGATTCCACATTGATTACCTCTGTTGCGTGCCATTTTAAGGTATCCCTGATCACCCCACGATGTGCCCCAGCTGTTCTTGATCAAGTAATAATCTTGACCATTTTCAGTTCCATAACCAACGGCCAATACGCCATGATCAAGATTCGTCATCGTGCATTCGCTTTCAGTATATACTCCACTGGAATAATGTTGAAAGGATGGATGAGAAGCATCAATGGCAACGGAAACCTATGAAAGCATAACCGATTCAAAAATAACAATAAACATTCAATTTAACGACAAATGGATGTTTATGATGGTTTTTATCATTCAGAATTGTCTATGAGCGAGTCTACATTTTGCACTCTTACTTCAATTACCGAGTTTCGGTTGTCAAACAGACCAGATAGAAAAAAACAAATGAACAACAGCAAAAAAATGAACACTGAAAGACGTGGCGAATCAACAAAATAAATTATACTTACCGGACCGACTGTCGCTATGGCTTCCTTCAATTTCTGTTCATCGCCTTCGGGAATGTCTACAAAATCGGTAACTGTTGCGCCTATATTTCTACGACTAAATCTACAAATTGGTATGGCATTCCCTTCATAGGGGTATGAAGATTCGGTATCGATCCCACCATTTTCTTTGATATATTGAAACCCATTGTCCATGAAGCCACCATTGCAGCCATCATTACCGTAGGCAGCCGAACAGTCGAGAAGATTTTGTTCCGATAACGACACCAATTTTCCAGTTTTTACAAAATATTGCCCTTCAAGTGCACCTAAATGAAAACAAAAATGTATTTTAACGTCTGTTTTTTTCTGATTTTGTTTTTTATAACTTCTGACCTGTTGTGGAAAATGCATAACACGAACCGCATTGGCCTTGATCTTTTACCTAAAAAATAAATGTAAAAGCGTGAAATTACATAAAACAAACAAATAACAAAAAGATAATGACTTTTAACTGAAATTTCAAGAAATCTGTAAAATTCATAGGAAAAAATGCATAAATAATTTATTTTTTTAAGTTTATCTACCGGTGTCACTCCTCCTAGATCTCTCCAATCAATAGCGCGTGGAACCTTTAATCCGGCAGCTCCATTGTAAGAAAGAGTTACATTTGATTGTCGTGCTCTACAAAAAGGCAAAATAAACAAAATTGTTTGCGACATTTCGTTGAGAATTTTGTCTTACCTCAACGACTCCTTCAAGCCATTCATTTGAAACACAAATTCTTTATGCGATAAATCACTGTATTTATTCAGGCCCATTTTATATGTTGTGAGACCTTCTTCAAACCTCAAATTGTGTTTGATAATTTTCAATTTATTCTCTAAGAAAATTTGCAGTCGATTTGATTCATCCACATGATTTGAATATTTTTTCAAATGTTTCGCCTAAAATAAGTGCAAACTCATTAAAATTTGATCAAAAACTTTCTGATTTTCACTGATTTCACTTTTACTTACTTTGTATGCAAACCATTCTCGTATTTCCAAAATTGTGATTGCATGTGAAATGGCAATCAATCCAATGAATACAACAAAATGCTTTTGCGTCATTTTCATTTGGATATTCAATTTGTTTTTGTTTTTACTTAAGCACTTATCAAAATCTACAACTTCCAATTGACACTACAACGAATGAAACAAAAGAACCGACAGACTGAAAAATGGCTTGTTGAACGATGGGACTTTATAGACGCCTATGTCACGCAACTACGCAATTTTTTCAACGTTTATTTGGACTTGAATAGAATGTTTATGTGTTTGGAAGTTTCACGTTACAATGTGCGTAATTTTGTCGAGCTTGCTCCGTTTTTTCTACATAATACTGATTTTCCGTAATTTAATGCATTGCATATTTATGCAAGTAATAATTTTATTACTTCCGCTCTATATAATTTACCGAAAAGTGATGATTCCAATTATGTTTTACGCTTGCCACAAAAAAAAGTGCGTTAAGTATTTGTAAATTGCCTTACTAAGAGTTCCGAAAGAATAAAACAATGTGCGAAAAATGCTTTCATTTCGAAAAAAAGTGCCGAAGTAAATTGTCAACAATGGTCAAGAATTTTTATTAAATAACATAAAATGAAATGTATCAACAAATAAATAAAAATTCATGGCTAATGTCAAAATTACAGCTAAAGAAAAAAAAAGATAGTAATTCTTATTTTTAGACGAGTGGAAACTGAGAATTCGATGCAATTGAACACTGATTATTTTTATTTCGAGACATTTTAACATATCCCTCCTCTCCCCACTTTCGTCCCCATGAATTCTTCACTATATAATACTCGTGACCATTTTTCTCAACGCCAAATCCAACCGCCAGCACAGCATGATTGTAAGTTGTCGAACTGCAATTGTGATCATTATAAACGCCCGACGAGTAATGTCGAAAAGTGTCTTGTGAAGCATCGATCGCAACGACGATCGGACCAACTGTGGCGATAGCTTGTTGTAATTTCAGCTCATCTCCGATTGGAATATCTTTGAAGCCACTAATGGTGGTGTTTGATTTTTGATTCGTATACTTGCACTTCTTGTCGCGACCTTCATACGGATAAGCCTTAAATCGCAAAATAAATATTTCGATGTAATAATTAAAAGGACAGAATTAACATTTTTTAGCCACGAACCTTTTCCGAATCGATTCCATGGTCTTTCACATATCTAAACGCCTCATCTACAATCAGTTTCGATGTAATGCATACATTATGTTCGAATTAATTAAAATCAATCTTTTTCAATGTTTACTCACCCACCACACCGCCATTGCATCCAAAATTTAGAAATTGTTCTTTCAATATAGTCGCATAAAGTGTTGAACAGTCGACCAAATTTTGTGGTGATAGTTCTCTCAATGGACTGTGTTTGTGTATATACAATTGTCCTTCGATCGCACCTACTGTATACAATACATAAGTTTTCCTCACTTGGAACAATAAAAAATGCATTTAAAAAAAATTGAAATCGTGTACCAGCGGCAATGGCCCAGCAACTCCCACAATTGTTTTGTTTCCTTACTCGTTTTGAAACGGCACCTTTCTTTCGCCAATCGATACTTTTCGGCAAATGCATATGTGGTGACCCAATAAAATAATCGCGTTCCTCGTCTGGTTGTGATCTACAATGAAAATTCTCAATAAAGTAAATCGATATATCGATACGAACACTTTTACGAAAACCTTAAAATTTCGCGCGGTTTTAGTCCATTCATACGAGTCGTAAATTCTTCGGGATTAAGATCACTAAAACGATTTATGCTCATTTTGAATGAAGCTAAACCCTTTTCAAAAAGTTTATTGTGTTTATCGATTTCTCGTTTATGCTTCACAAAAATTCCCATTCGACGATCTTCTTCCGCTTGATTTGCATATTGTTTCGAATATTCCAGCTAAAAAAATTGACACTTTTTTTAGAACTAAACAATTTTTCACATCGTTGAATCAAACCTTAAATCTTTGCCATGCATCAAAATCACACGAAGAAATTCTTGCCGTTGAAATGGCAAACAGTCCCATAAATACAGCAATCAACAATTTATTCATTTCACTTCCGAATAATATAACTATCACGAAAACAGAAAAGAATGACGTCTTATCGTTAACTATGACCAAAGATGTCTAAATCTTATTGTAACGTGAAACATTTGCTAATGTTACCTCATCGATTTGCACATGCATAAGCCATTTGTAATGTTTTTGTTCCCTTTGGGCATACTAATTTTTTTCAAATGAAACAATTTGGTAGTAAATGAAAAATAAATAAACATAATCACATTGCAGAGTTACAATTTGTATGTTTTTGCTTCAGTTCCTATTGCGTATACTAATTTTTTTCAAATTTATAGGCGAAAAAAATAAAAAAAAAAACAATAATTGACCTTGGTGAAATGTGATATGTAAGCGCAACAGAAAGTAAAACAACGTGTCTGACAAAAAATCACGATGACTTATGGTATTTATTAAATTGTAATGCGGTTGCATTGTTTACAGTCGCATAATTCACAACATTTTAATATGCAAATGCAAGAGATGCCGTTGCTAATATTGTTTTTATTTTTTTTAGTCAAAAATGAAAAACCAAAATTTAAAAATGAAACTCGCATAACGTACGCTTTTATTTATATTCGTTGATACTTAAACATGTAATTAACAAGTAAAAATCTATTCTATTGATCTAAACGATGGGATAGTTGGCAAATGATGCAATCGAGCAGTGATTATTTTGATTTCGTGGCATTTTAACGTACCCGCTTTCTCCCCAATGAATTCCCCAGCAATTTTTCACAATGTAATACTCTTTTCCATCACCATCACTTCCGTAGCCAACGGCTAAAACGCTGTGATCAAAGGTTGTTGAGCTGCACGTTGGCTCGTGGAATATACCACTTTTATAGTGTTGAAAAGATGCGTGTGAAGCATCGATGGCAACGGAAATCTATAAAATCATCAAATGAATACTGAACACCGTGGCAAATGAATTAACAAAACAAATGATACTCACGGGCCCGACTGTCGCCTAAACATAATAAATAAAATGTCAGTGAAATATTATTTAAATTTAGGCAGTTTTTGCATTAAATTACAATAGCTTCCTGCAGTTTAAGCTCGTTTCCGCTTGGAATATCTTTATAGCCGCTTATTGTTATATTCGACTTCTGATAAATGTGCCGGCAGATGCTAAAATACGACCCGGTGTACGGATAGTTGTCCTCCGTGTCAATGCCATGGTCTTTCACATATAAGTAAGCTTCATCGACTGAACCGCCCATACAACCTGCACGAATAAAATAAATAATTGTTTTAAATAATTCAAAAAATAATGTTGTTTAATAATGAATGTGTTAAACAAAGAATTGAAATGAACCATCGTTGACATAAGTTTTGGGCTTCAACAGAGAAGCCAATGTTGACGAGCAGTCGACGATGTTTTGAACAGAAAGCGATTCCAGTGGGCCAACCTTCTTCAAAAATATTTGCCCTTCTATAGCAGCTGCGGCGGCAAACGCATAACACGATCCACATTCTTTTTGATCTTTCACTACGGATAATATTTACGCAATTTTTCATTTAAAATAATATTCGGTTTTCAATACATCAGAAAGAACATCATTTGTTACCTTCAGTCACGGCGCCCTCAATTCTCCAGTCTTTTTCTTTTGGTAGATCGATATGCGTCGATCCGACAAAAAAATGACACTCTTCAACTTCAATATTTGCTCTATACTTCAATGGTCTAAAAAAGCACAGACATTTTCACAATTATTTATTTGAAGACAATAACATATGGTCAGTGCTCACTGCTTTTGCTTAAGTCCATTCATGCGATTTTTGAATTCTTCCGATGTGAGATCGCTGTATTTGTTCAAACCCATTTCGTATGAAGTGAAACCTTCTTCATAACGTTCATTGTGTGTGTCGATTTTTCTTTTGTGCTCGAGAAAGATCTGCATGCGGTAATTTTCTTCAGTTTGATTGTGATATTGTTTCGAAAAATCCACCTAGAAATTTTATTGAATCGAATGCTTTGAACAAATGTATTTAGTTTTGATCTTTACCTTGAAAGCTTGCCAAGCATCAATATCGGATTGTGAAATGGCAGCAGAGATCGAAATAAATCCAAAGAAGGATATCACCAAATAAATCATTTTTTTTTAATTATCTGATAAACAAAGAACTTAAAGCAATGATAAGTAGCGTTTAACACTTGTTTCAAAGAATGTAATGAAATCTGGTCTAGATCATGATATAACAAAGACACAACTCGTATGTTATGTATGTTATTTTTGTGTTGTCACTCAAATAATAATGCATGTTTTTGAAAGCAGTTATGACAAATGAAAATATTTGTAAACTTTGTTAAAAAGAAGTTTAGTAGGGGTCTTGTTGAAAGTCATACGGTGTGTGGTGCCATATCATCTGCAAAATAAATCGCTGTGTTGGTACTTTTTGGATGACAAAACCATTCCATTTGTCGAATAAATATTTTGAAACGATGTGTAGAAATTCTGAAATCAGATTGTGTCTTCCTCATTGATAGTGAGTGATATTTAGTAAATATGTGCTGTGATTTATATGTAGAGGCAGTCAAATTTCATTATCTATATTCCATTATCTCTGTATTTTGAAAGTTTTAGAAATGGATATGTTGTTTTCATTAAATAACATTTTCGTAGTCTGCATCCGTGGCGTATAAAGTCGCCATGTATTACTCAATAAATAATTTAAAATTTAATTTAATTTGAAATGAAATTTTAATTAGCAGTTTAATCTACAAAAAGTTAAATAATGTGACGTAAATTGTTATTGAAATTGTTTGCTTCTTGAACACAATAACAACATTATCCAAAGACAAGAGCAATCTCTTTGTTTAAAAATATAACACTATCGATAAATTGCGGCAGCACTCTCCTGTAAATCGTGATCTCTTCAGACGTTAGATCAGAGTACTTGTTCACACGTCTTTCGAATGAAACTAAGCCTTTCGCATAGAGTTCGTTATGTTAATCGATTTCATTTTTAAGTTTTAAAAAAATATCCATGCGATGATTTTCTTCCGTTTCATTTGCATAATGTTTTGAATATCTTGTCTGCAATTGTGTCATTATCATTTAATACACTGCTTATTCAATTTCTTCTTATTATTACCTTAAATGCATGCCATGTTTCTAAGTCTGTCGACGAAATGGCAATAGAGATGGCACAAAATGCAACGATTATTATAATGTATTTACTCATACTGAAACTTCAAAGAAAAAAAAACAGCACTAAGAAATTCAAACGGTTTTCACTTGAGACTCGTGTTACTTAGAAGCCACTAATATAAATTGTCAATTACATCGATTAAGTACATAATACTCTTTTTATTCTGTACTCAATACGAAACCATTATCTTTTTTTTTAAATCAGAAAACGTTTTTTGAAAACTCAAAACTAAAATAGAAACAAAATATGATATGAACATGCCGTGCGATGTGACGTTTTACACAAATCAATGTGTTATTATTTCAATACCAAAGCTTCATCACATATCATTGATATCAATGACGCAAACATGGCTTTTGTTGTAAAAAATAGTGAATGCAATGCATTGATTTGAAACTATAATTGAACTCTGAATTCACGTCAGTTACGTTATCGGTATACGTTTTTTTGCAAAGACTTGAACATGACATGCTTTGCAAAACGTTTTGTTATGTATTAAATGAATCAGCATTTTAACGTGAGATGCGTCCATTTTTGAATGATTTGAACATTCCTGTTTACCTAAACTATAGAGAAAAGTCGCATAGCATGTTGCAATTTCATTTATTTATTTTTACACTGCATTTTTTTCATTAAACTTATATCAAATTAACCTTCAAGCTACAATATAAACAGAAAATCTTTGTTAATTAGTCAAAAAATCTTCTTATGTGTATACTTAAAAAAACTTATAGTTCAGTTATATATAAAATATTTGACCAAAATTTTGCAAAAAGAGGAATATTGTTTATCGTTTATAGAAATAGGAAAGGTAACGTTTATATCTAAACAATGGGGTAGAAAGCATTCGTGGCGATGCCACAGGGGTTTTCCATATTTCTCAGCAAATACATGTAACCCGTGTCTCCCCACCCTACTCCAAATGAATTCATCAAGATATAGTAATCTCTTCCAAATTTATCTGTTCCGTAACCTATTATCATAGACATCAACATTATCATTGTGATATCAATTTTTGAATTAAATAAATGTGTAAATGATATACTAACCTACTGCCAAAACGACGTGATTCAAAATGTGTTTCTCCAAGAGACAAGCATAATAGCCGCCACCACGATAAGAGTCGAATAAATGACCCGCATGAATTACGACAACCACGGGTCCCTCTGCACGCGATTTTTGTTATAAATGTTAAACGGTTAAAATGTACAATGGCACCCAAAATCAACCGAAAAATAGACATGGACCATACCTTTTGCGATCGTCTCTTTCAATTTTCGCTCATCTCCACTTGGAATTGTGTGGTAGCCGCGAATAGAGATTCTCGATTTTTGGTAATGTTTATATTGGCAGGCTCTGTTCTTAGCTTCATATGGATAAGCACTTTCTGTATAAATGCCATGATGTTTGATATATTTAAAAGCTTGATCTGGCCAACCGCCGCTACATCCATTATTAAAAAATCGTTGTTTAAAAGAATGTGCATACTTTGATGAACAGTCCATGATATTTTGCGGTGATAATGATACTCGCACCCCTTTTTTAATGAATAGATGACTTTCGACAGCTGAAACTGCCGCGAAAGCCCAGCAACTTCCACAATCACCTTGATCTTTTGCTGGTCCAACGCCTTTCTCTCTCCAGTTCACATAGTCTGGCAATTTATAATGAGACGATCCCACAAAATATTCTAAATCGTCAGCTTCAGATTCAGGTCTAGTCCTAAAGTGAAACCATCATTGAAATATTGTGATTTAATCGAAGTGCGTAGTTATTTTTTACATATTGGAATCAAATCCTCTCCTGCGACTCGTGATCTCTTCATCTGTTAAATCACTGTATTTGTCCACGCCTCTTTTGAATAAAACTAAGCCTTTTTCATAGAGTTCATTGTGTTTGTCGATTTCTTTTTTAAGTTTTATGTAAATTTTCATGCGATAATTTTCTTCCGTTTCGTTTGCATAATGTTTTGAATAATTTGTCTGTAATTGACACTATTATTAAGAAAACTGTGTAAACAAAGCAATTTCACTTTATCTATTACCTTAAATTCTTGCCACGCATCCAAATCCGTTGAAGAAATTACACTTGAAATGGCAACAAATGCACCGATTAAAATAATGCACTTGTTCATACTGAAACTTCGAAGGGAAAATGGACTCATAATTGAAGGTAAAAGTGCTAAATGTTTCAAGCTGTTTTCAAATTCACTTTAAAATGACGTTATATCGTTCGAAAAATACACATTGCAAGCTTAATCAAGTCCCTCTATTATGTGCACTTAGTTGGGTTGGAATTTATAACATGCCCATTTTCGTGATTTATCAAAATGCGATATAAACGTGTCGTATGTATTTTTTCAAGAATTAAACAAAATGAGGCACATGCAAAGGTATTATATTGCAATATCAATGCATGTGACAACATCAAAATAATGTCCATGCATACAGAAATTATGCTCCATAAGAGACTGTATAAAATGCAAAACTGTAGCACTGCTAGCGCCACTACGGACAACTATGGAGCTCTAGTCCGTTGGTTGCAACTGAGCAAAAGTCTTTTCACTATTTGGCGGCAACTTAGTGTAGATTACATTGAATTCCGTCGTGGCGCTAGCAATGTCACAGTTTGGGCATAATTTCGGTACGTGTCCATGCGATGATTTTCTTCCGTTTCGTTTGCATAATGTTTTGAAAATTTTGTCTGCAATTCACATTATTATCAAAAGTACACAAAAATTATTTCACATTTTCTATTACCTTAAATTCTTGCCACGCATCCAAATCCGTCGAAGAAATTACACTTGAAATGGCAACAAATGCACCGATTAACATAATGCACTTATTCGATGATCATTTTTGAAACTTCAAAAGGGAAATGAACAGTGCTAAGTGATTCAAACTATTTTCCATCTGTTTTTATATATAATTATTCTGCACTATGCAATAGATTATTATCAAAACGTTGATTATTTTTTGGAAACTCTGATATGAGCGTAATGCGCGATATAAATATCATAATTGAAATTTTATTAGTGAAGTGAACTACGTGTTTTATGAAAACTGGAACGAAATGTGATGCATCCGCAAAAATTAATGCCCTAACGTGAGGTTTGTCACATTTTTTTATCAATATAAACATTCCATTTCATATGAATTAAAAGATTTTTGTTTCACGCAAATTTCCTAAACAATTATTCCATTTCACTCATGAAATGGTTAATTTTATTTATTTTTTTAGAATATGTGGAATGACAGTTTTCACACATTGAATAAAAATTGTCAGAAAATCTTAGTTAATGGTGCCCTGCGTTAATATTAGTAAACAGATGACAACATATTTTTCATAGTTTTATATTGAAGTGTTCGAATCAGATTTAAGGTGACGAAAATAGACCTGTTACAAAGTCCAATGAAAAAGATCACGTTTGTTTATTTCTTTGTTCAAAAGCGATAATTGGTGGATACCATTCCATCAAGTGCTCAAAAAAATACTTCAAAAAACAGTGTTTACTTTAAAAGATTGGAAATTTATTATTGAAAAAAATGAACAACTGATAACACACAATAAAACCTACTATTCTACATCATCAAAAAGAAAAACGTGAAAATTATTTATTTTTGTAGAAGCGACCAAATAAAACCTAACACTTATGTACTTAAATCATACACCATCATGGAATAGCGTAGAAAGCATGTGATGCAATGGAGCAGAGGTTATTTTGATTTGCACGCAACTTCATATAACCGCTCTCTCCCCACTTATTGCTCCAAAAGTTCTTCACTATATAATAGGGGATACCATGCGAATCGCTTTCAAATCCAACTATTAAAACCGCGTGATTAATCTGCGATGTACAATTGGAGTCGTCATAAATGCCTCCCGCATACATTACGAAAGAAGGCTGTGAAGCATCGATGCCAGCTGCGATCTAATAATTTGTAGAAGAATTTTCAAATATTATTCACTATTATCTAAGACTGTCATCGAAATGAATTGAACAATATGAAAGGTGCTTACCGGACCAATGTTCAAAATAGCATCTTGCAATGACTTTTCGTCGCCTTTGTTCAAATAAACGAACTCGCGAATTGTAATGTTTGATTTTTGATTAGTATATTTGCACGTCTTATCTTCACCTTTATACGGGTAGGCCTTAAAACATAAAATAAAAGTTTTGAGTTATTAATAATTAGAGCATTCGAAATAACACTTTTGAATAGTCACGAACCTCTTCCGTATCAATTCCATGTTCTTTGACATATTTGAAAGCGTCTGAGATTCTGCCACCTTTACATCCAAGGCTTGAATACTTCGTTTCTTTCAATATCGAGGCATGATCAGTTGCACAGTCGATGATGTTTTGGACAGACAGCCGTTCCAATGGAGCAACTTTCTTCAAGTATCGTTGACTTTCGATAGATCCTATTCCGGCAAAAGCCCATGAAGTACAGTTTACCGTGACCTGCACCTCTTCAATCACTGCACCCTTTTGTCGCCAATCAATGGATTTTCGTGTTGTATTCATAACTGGCTCGACAATTGGAGCTTCTCGTATTGATCTAAAATCAATCGAATTCAAATAAAAAGTGTAACATTCACAAAATCATTCAAATAATAAAAAACACTTTTATCGTTCAAAGAATATTATCTTACCGAAAAATGCCAACTTGAAGTCCATTTAAGCTTCTGCTAAATTCATCAGTCCCAAGATCGCTGTATTTATTTAAGCCCATTTTAAACGAAGAAAGTCCTTGATCATAAAGTTCATTGTGCGTGTCAATTTGTTTTCTGTGTCTCAAAAATATGTCCATTCGACGACTTTCTTCAGTTTCATTTGGATATTCTTTCGAGTATTTCGTCTGGAATTTGTCATATTTATTTAATACTTCGAACATTAAGCAGGATTTTTTCGATTCATTTTTACCTTAAATTCGTGCCAAGCATTCAAATCGGATGACGACGCAGCAAATGTAGCGGCGAAAATTCCAGCAATTGCACTAAGCAACAGATGCATTTTTACATGTCACTGCAACAGACTTATAAGAAATGAAAACTCGTTAAAGAATTAAAAAAACGTGGAAATATCACTTGAACACAAGTACTGGTGAAATTTACACTTTTTTAAAATTAAAAAAACAACAATGCTTCCAGTTGAAAGTTTAAGCGAAATGCATATAAAGAAGCACCCACCTCAGTTTATATATTATTTTTCCGAGCTATTGTGCACGTATTGAGAGATTTAATGAAAAAAGTGATTCAAAAGAAATGACGTATAATTTCGAATCTCATTCATTGTAATAAACCTAGACAATATATTGAACTAACTGGTCAGTTGAGCTGACAATACGTTAGCCAGCTAAATGGACTAAAACAATAGAAGTTATTGTTATAATGAACAATCACTTCTATTAAAACAAGAAGAGTGATTCATCATTAGAACAATAACGTCTATTGTTTTGGCCCATTTATCTGGCTTCCGTAGTGTCAGCTCAACTGACCAGTAATTTCAATATATTGTTTGAATAAACCACACATCAAAATAGCTACTTAATTTCACTGTTACTTTTATATCTGGTACGTTGAACAAATTCTCTTAAAAGCATGTTAATTAAGTGCAGTGATAAAATTAATATTAGTGTTCCGTGCATTTTTTTCGCGTTCGAAAAAAGCAAAGCTAAGTAGTGGCGCATAAATTTTATCAAGAGTCGAATGGCACATGTTCGATATATGTCACGTATTTTACTAGTTAAATTTTTGTGATACAATAACACGAGCCTTCATTTAATTCACAAACGAAACGTAGTTTTCTACAATCTCTGTTCTCTTTTTTTTCTCGTACGGAATTTATTTATATGTTTTTTAAAGCAATGCAAGTTAGAGTGTGCTGAACTGGGCACACACAAAAACTACACATGGTGGAAAAAAGCAATTGTTAAAATTGAATACATAAAGTTGGCACAACTACACTTTACGACATCCTCTTTAAATCGATTTTTTTGAGAAATTTCATTTTTTTAAGTTTTGAAAATGATGGGGAACGATGAATTGGGGTTGGGGAAAGCTGATTTAAGGATCAAAAATATTGGACCTGTTCGGGATATGAAAAAAATCAGCCCCTGTAAAAGGTCAATTTTTGGGGACAAAATGGATATTATCAAGTGATATCACGTCCAGATTTCAAAATTAACTATATAGATCAATAGTAAATGAAGAAAAAATAATTTGGTGAAAAGGGGGGTTGCCCCCCTTGGGTATTAGTGGGGGGGAGTACCCAACTTGTCCAAAACCTCATTGGATCAAAAAGTGATGTATGGCAAAGTTGTTCAGAATGACGAGAGAAATTTTTTAGGGTAGCTGCCCTCCCCCTCCCCTAATCCCCTACGAGGTCTGGGATCTTTACCCCTTAATTTTTTATTTTTTCGATCAGAAACTTAAAAATTCAGATTAAACCTCTCTTAGGTGCTATCATGCATGGGTACAGTTGAAAAATCAAAGGGGGGTTAATTTTGAACATGCCAGCGCGCGCGCTGACGAATGTATTCAATACACACATTTTCATCAATAAATGCATAACGCGCCACCCACTCAAATTCCGACTCAAAAAGAAAGAAAATCGACTTTACAGTATCGGACCCCCTAGGCCCCCTAGGGGATGGGGGGAGGGGGAGGGCAGCTACCCTAAAAAATTTCTCTTGTCATTCTGAACAACTTTGCCATACATCACTTTTTGATCCAATGAGGTTTTGGACAAGTTGGGTACTCCCCCCCCACTAATACCCAAGGGGGGCAACCCCCCTTTTCACTAAATTATTTCCCCACTCCCAATATATCGTTCCCCATCATTTTCATAATTTGACAAAATACCATTTATAAAAAAAATCGATTTAAAGAGGATGTCGTAAAGTGTAGTTTAGCCCATAAAGTTTGAATAAAATTGACCATTCTTATGAATTAACTCTTTTACCTCGATCGCTGTTCCGTTTTGTTCGAATAATTTCAAAAAATATAAGAAAAAATGTCGACAAAAAACTTAACTAATATCACGTAAAAGTGTTTATTTACCAAATATTGTTGCACAAAAAATAAACCTGTCTGAATATACACTCACCATGTCTGATTGCTTCAAATTGAAAAAAATTGTGCTTACATCAAAATCTAATCGGAATATCTGAAAAAAACTTGAAACAAAGTGCACGACTTTTAACTGAACGGAAATAACTTTATTGACACTATTTGCAATTAGTATTGATACAAAATTATTTCACTCTTGAACTTTTATATTTTTTACGGAATTTTTTTGTTTGAAATTGTTGTTTTAAAATGGCCATAGATATTTGACAATGGTACCCCAAACCTTCCCTCTGACTTTGATGGCTGTTCCAAATTTGGCTTCTCTGAACTGATGAAACTTGTTGAATTGGAATCCGGTTGCGTTGTTCGATGCCGTATAGTTGTAGTACTTCGAGTCTTCATAAATCAATGTTTTTGATGACAAGCACAGCGTTTTCAACATTGTTTGAATCTTTTTCGAATGAAACGCGACTTGATATTGTTAGAGTAAAAATTTATAGTACAGTAAATATAAAATAAAATAATTTTATAGGTCGCAAAATCTAAAAATATAAAAGTTTGAAAATCGATTATTTTTTTGTAGTTCGTTTATTTAATGCACGTTTGAAAAATTAACAAAAAACAAATGAGGAAAATTGATTTATTGTTTTATTTTATTTAAAATATTTTCATTTATAAGTTTCATCGTTGTTCCAAACTTTCTGATATTTGTATCAAATGTGGAACAAAAGAGTATCATATAGCGAACAGAAAATTTGAAACAACGATGAAACTTATAAATGAAAATATTTTAAATAAAATAAAACAATACATCAATTTTCCTAATTTGTTTTTTGTTAATTTTTCAAACGTGCATTAAATAAAAGAACTACAAAAAAATAATACAATAAAATTGACTCAGGAGGACACCTAACCTCAATATATTCCTGTTGCTGCTGCACAGCAGAACAATAAAACCACGCAATCGCATTCGTAAAAAACTTACATTTTTTAATTTAATTTCAATTTTAATTTAGTTTTATTAATAAAATAAAAACAAAAATGATGAGCCGTCATTAGGTGTAAAAAATAGAAATGTTATCCAAAGTGAGTCGACCTTTGTGTGTTTGTATATATTGGTACCGCTTTGCAGCGGTATAGACGTATGAAATCACACTAGCCGCTGAGTAATTGAATTATAATATTTATTTTATTACATAATTCGTCACGATATTAATTTTTTTTATCTTTTTTGTTCACATTCACATTCTTTTTATATATTTCTAAATAAATAAGTCTCCAACAAAATGTAATACAATAATTAATATATAACTTGCTTGACAGCAGATTTCGATAGGGACAACTAATGACATTTGTGATTTGACATCTCGGCCACGGTTTGGCCTATCTGAGTTCGAATTAGATCGAAAAACTGAATTTAATTCTGTAGCATTGAAATGAAAAAGAGAAAAAACAACAATAATAGCACGGCCACACAGAGCTGTACATCTATGCGTGCTGATGCATACATACACATATACGCTTTCTTCATTCTTTCATTCCATTGTTATACGTATCTCACTGGTCAACAGATCTATGTAGCCATGTTACTGTTGTTTTTTTTCTCTTTTTCGATTCAATTCATGGTAACTAATGGGAGTTCAACTATGGAATACAAGATGGCACAGATGAGGGGAATTCGCATTTTGTCTCTTCATAGGCTTAGCCGGTTGGAAAGGTCTTAAAGTAAGCTCTCAAGTGGTGTCAATTGCGACTTAAAAAGTTCATGTGGGGGTGGCCAAATTGGCAAACGAAATAAAACAAAATATGAATGACAAGTACAATTCCAATTGAATTTTTCCAATCATTGAAATTTAATTCTTCGGTCCAAATTTTGAAAACTTTTGCGAAAATGAAACATGAATTTTGCGAAAATGAAACTTTTCGTTTACAATCGGAATTACTTGAAAATTGGCATGCCCTATTTTTTCTAGTAGAAAATAACTTTCTGAAATTTTCAAGGCGATCGTACAAAAAATGAGTATAACCCATATGAAACCTCAACGCTATGCGCGTCAAATCGACGTTATTCGACGCTATTCCATGTGTATATAGAATTGTACATTATGTTTTACAGTGCTGTGCAAGCATGCGGCCTTATACACAGTTACACACGAACTCCGTTTATGTGCGCGCGTTGCCTGTTATGTTTTGTGTATTGAATTGCGACTCAATCACAGTAGACGGCGCAGGCACTGTAAAACATAATGTACAATTTCATATATGTATACACATAGAATAGCGTCGAATAACGTCGATTTGACGCGCATAGCGTTAAGGTTTCATATGGGAACTCTCATTCAAAAGATCCAATATCTGGAGTAAAAAAAAAAATTTCGCAAAAAAAAGTTGAGTTTTGTGAAAATGAAATTTTTTGTTTACAACCAGAATTTTATGAAATTTGGTGTGCCCTATTTTTTCCAGTAGAAAATAACATAGAAAATAATAGATTTTTATTAAATTTAATTTAATTAAAAAAAACTAATACTTTCTAAATTTATAACCAGAGTATTGCTCAGCGCTGCTGCTATCCAGAGCATATTAAAATATCTTGCTGAGAATGCGTCGTCCGTGGCATGCGAACGTACGTAGCAGTTTATACATCACAGCGAACAAGAATGAATGCATTGTTCTCTTCACGGTTATGTGACTCAAAACATTCAAACGATTGAATAGAGAACAATGCATGTATTGTTGTTCGCTGTGATGTATAAACTGCTACGTACCTTCGCATGCGACGGACGACGCATTCTCAGCAAGATATTTTAATATGCTCTGGATGGCAGCAGCGCTGAGCAATACTCTGTTTATAACTAACTCTCTCCAAATTGATTACTAACTTTTTTTAAATTTTTGACGAAATTATTTCTATTAAACTGCTAACCGGCGATGTAATATTTCACTAACTATTTATACATTTTCTACTAACCATTTTCTTTTTTAACTAACTGGTTTACATAATTCCCTTAATAATATAATAATAAGAGAAACAATGAGGTAATCTTAATATTTAATAAATCTATTGTCCACGTAAAATAACTCC